AATGCATTCTCGTAACACATATGGTGTCAGACAGTTTTATATCACATAAACGACAATCCCTCCTCTCTCTCTCTCGCTACCTGAACTTTTCATAATAAATATATATTTACTTCATAGTATCATTTTATAAACCCTCCCCCAATACATGAATCGTTATTGTCAGTAATTGTCATGATTGTTCGTTTAAACATGACTTTGTTTACTTTTCCTTCCTTTTAATGATAAAATTACAATGCTGGTCAACTATCTAACATTATCAATGAGATATTAAGGAATATAATGTAACTGTTTTTTTAAACCAAATTTTTGCTTAAAATCTTCTTTGTGTAAATTTGTAGGCAGAGTTTTCAGGATTTTTCAAACGAATAAGAGCGCCCTTAATTTCTCTTAAGGTTCTCTTTTGGTTATCGCACGATGTAATTGTTTGTAAAATAATATATAAAGTCGAATATGATTGTATCCGGAAGGTTAATACGTTGCTTATTGATATTTGAGTATTTACCTTCGACTGGCAAGGTGTATCGGGAAGGTTAATACTTTGCTTATTGATATTTGAGTATTTACCTTCGACTGGCAAGGTTTTCTTGGATGTGATATCCTCTCTGTATGATAATACCTCACGCATTTCGGATGTTCGTTCGACGATGTCGTGAGTATGGACGATGGCGTGTACGAAGTCGACGTCGAGACCAAGGTGAGGATGATGAGAGTAAGGATGAAGAGAAGATGTGTTGTCATGGTAACACTGGAGCGTTTATATGACTGAGGCTGAAAATGTCTCGTAGAACCACTGAATGTGCTCTCCATGAAAGTTCTTATTGCTGAATACATGTTTGCTTATTACAAACAGAAGACAAGTTTTTAAAAATTGTTTAAGACTTGTATCTCATTCCCTTTTCCTGTTTTATTTTCACTGAGTCACGGTTTCTCGTCGAAGAGATGAAATCAAGATTACTTTACGTTGAATTGTTTCACTGAGCCTCACATCTACAGATCATTCAAACCACCAAAGATGTTAAATATTCAGCGTTTAGAGAGCGATGTGCAATTTCATTTCTACGACTTCACGAGAGGTAGTACCGATCTACTTCGCTTTTCGACTTCAAATCATTTCAAGAATGATCAAGAATCTTCAAATCATTTAAAGAAATAATTGCTCCTGTCTTTCCCTTGCTAAATCAATGACATAAAATCAGAACATAGCAGTCCCTAAGCAATAGCTAGAAGAATCCAAGTTTCTGTTGCCACATTATGTCACCAAGCTTGGAATCATATTCATCGTCGAAGGGGGTACAAGCAAGCAAATCCCACACAAACATGACAAGTACATATCTAAGAGTAGTTTAATCGTGTCAAGGTATGGATTAGAAGAAAATAAGATGATTGATGTAGTGAGGTCCAGTCTCCACTTAATCCTTTGCTATTATAAAGTAAAGATTCTTTATGAAAGAATTTGTCGAATAGGACAGCAAAGAGCTCTTGTCACAGCTTCAAGTCTTCCTGTTAGTCTGGCCATCATCTGAAACAATTCTATCAAAAAATGAAACAGATAAATACCAACAGCTGATACACTCAAGTTTGAAGAAGATGAGGAAGATCTTTGCATCAGATGTTTTCTTCTGTCTGCCAGAAGAGAATGCCGAGAGAGTGAAGCTTGTAATCCTTGTGGCTTAGCAGGAGCAGTCGTCTTTTGAGATGGGTGAGTGAGAGGAAGGAAAGAGTTGACATCATTATTCCTCTCTTTTTTCCGCGCGGGGTTTCTCATACGTCCTTGTGGGACTGGTGTGCTGAGAGTGCTGTTCATATTTTCATTTGAAGTTTCTCTTCCTGCGCGAAGAAATGGAAGAAGAGTTGTGTGGTGAGGGAGAGAGAGAGAGAGAGAGAGAGAGGGGGCAAGCGAAAAGAGGGAGAGAGGGAGGAAGAGAGAGGGTGAGAGAGGGGAGGATGAGAGAGGGAGGGAGAGGGGAGGATGAGAGAGGGACAGAGAGGGGGGGGGGGGGGAAACGTTTTTTTCTTGTTCTCGACTTGCTTGACATTATGAATTAATATTTTGTGGTCCTTTTGCTATTATTTCCATCTCCATTATTCTTCTTCTCCCTCTTTGTCATTGTTACTCTCACTCTCACTCTCATTTCTTCTTCCTTTCTATTAACCCAAACTATCTCTCCCCCATTTTCGTTGCCACAATCATCTCCATTATTATCTCTCTTCCTCATCCCACCCCTCCTCTCTCACCCTCCTGCCTCCTATTCAAGCACCCCCTCAGCTCCTCACATTATTCCCCTTCTCTCAGCTCACCCCTTCTCATCTCTTTCTCTCCACCATCACATCTCTAATCCCATCTCATATTCTTACGTACGCATTGCCAAAATATGGGATAGGAAGTTGCCTCCCTATTCTAAGATTTTCCCCGGAATATTTTATAATTTTTCTGTGCAAAATATTAATGTTCACAAGAGGCCCCCCCCCCCTTTTTTTTTATTATGTCGGTACATTCACTTGCCCCCCCCCCCTCATATGGGAGAGGTTGGTCAAGTTAGTGTTCCCCACAACCCCACCTGTTAGAAGTTGATTGGATATCCCTCGACACCCTTAAAACATTTCCCGTCTCCCTCCCACTCCACAACTTTCATTTCCAAAATGACAGGAGAAATTAAACTTTGAGCCAGCTATAAGGGGATTCCAGTCTGCAGGCATGAGCTCTAGTCAACCATGACGCATGTAAAACAGATCTGACTTTTAGGCTATCAGATTCTATCTTGTCCATAGGTTCTGTTGTTAAAGGCATTGACTTCATACAATCATTATCCATGCCATAGGCTTCAGTCATCTCAAATAATAAGATCCCGGGCTTGAACACTAGTTGATATATGCATCGGACTTCTGGTGCCCCCTTCTCCTTTGGTGGTTGGGTGGATGTTAGTATACATTAATTATTGAACATTTATAAGTAGCAAATGGGGCCAAGGGAGGAATTATATCCATGAAACGATGGACAGGAATAAGAAAATTAGTGAGATAGAAAAGTGAGAGAGAGAGAGAGAAAGAGACAAAGAGATAGAGAGAGAGAGAGAGAGAGAGAGAGAGAGAGAGAGCGAGCGAGAAGGGGTCAGGTTAAAACAAATATTAGGGGAACCCCCCACTCCCCCTCCTAACCTAGCTGTTGTATTATTTTCAAGCAACAATTCAGACTCAATCTCAGAGGGCACTTCTTCAGCCAAAGAGTTATCACCGACTGGAACAATCTTCAGTCTGCGGTCGTAATTATTGGTCTAAATTCCAGTATATTGCGCGTGATCCATCTATCTAGTGTGCCCTCAAACTTGTTAATCAGAACCATGCATAAAGAAGTAGCGACCGGAAGACCAGCAGGACTACCTTTTCTTCCGTATACTGTTGATTTTGATGTTGATGTTTAATCCACATTACTTTCTAGTATATTAGACCATGCAGTGCCCCCGCTCGCTGGGCCCATGCTACGCTAAATTTATTGGGATGCTAATGCCCCTTTCTTAATTGATTGGCCTTGAAGATTTAAAATTAATGTTACCTTGCACCGGGAACCAATGTTGACGTTCATGAAACATTATTATAAGTCGACATGACTGTATAGGCTTCTCAATATTATAAATTAAACATTAATATGCGCTCAGCCTTTGACCCCCCCTTTTCGCTGCCTTCTACTCAACGCCCCTCGAATTTATAGACACACTCATCGATCAGTTCTGTACAATCGGGTCGTTTGGTTAAAGATAAACTCCAGCTCTGGTTAAAAAAGAAAATTAATTCTCACAGAATCAAACGAAACTTACACTGAATGTTCAAGATTACAAATAAATGACATGTGCCAAACAATTTTGGAAGAAAATGCATACTGGCTGAGTAATGAGCATAGAAAGACAAGGAAATCAAGGCAGTACTAGCCCCGACACCATGTGTGTTGTCCCATATATAACTTTCTGTGTACAGTGCTTGTTACTTTACCAAGACTCGGTCAAATTTATTATGATTTTGATGACTCCAGAACCTTGCAGTGCACACCAATACTTACATGCTACATGATCAGCTGTTTCTGATCCTTTCCACACCTTTTCTTTCACAATGCAATCGCATTACCAGTACTAAAGTTTATCTTTAATGGGTTACACAAGTATAATTCTATATACTGTTATGGGTGCATATAACATACATGTGGCTTTGGCCAATACGATACCCAATGTATATGAGGACAGTCGGATTATATCTTTTAAACACAATCGCGTTTTCATAAATTGTTCGTTTCCTCTCAAGTTATAGGTAGTATTCAATCCCGAGTGCAGTTGGCAAATCCATAAACAGAAAAATTGAAGGGGTTTGTCATCAATGAAGCTTGTACGGTAAGAGAGGGCGTGTAGGCGACAGTGGGGGCAGGCGCGTACGCATGCCCCCCCCCCCCCCCTTGAAAAAATCCTGCGTATACGCCACTGAGTGGGGGTATAATATAATGCTGGTTATAGCCTCTAAAAGCGTTTGAATAAATTGAATTAATATTAAAATAAATCTCAAGAATTAAGATATACCATGATATACTGTAATTGTACAATTATCAATTGTCATTGTAATGACATAACAAGAAAAAGTCTGATCTCATCATAGCAAAACATATAGCTAGCCGGTCAGTTGAGTATAGTGTGAAGATGGAGTATACTGATATAACACAATAATGAGTTCGGTCTACGCAACATTTTATACCTGCTTTGTTTATAGCTATGCAGTGAGCAGAATTGTCAATAAATTCCTTTTCATCAATTGATTTCCCGTTTGAAAAATATCGTATGGATTTCTTACATCAAGAGAGCCTGAATTATCTTTTCGAAATACAACGACATCTCGTAGTCGTACCCTTTCGTCATAATGTAGTTCAACCTTTGAACTTTTTGTTTTCAAATGACGTCATCGTCATGAGCTAGCTAGCTCCATTTGCTTTGTGTACTATATGATACATACATGCATCGTACACGTACTGGCCTTGTTGATAACCATTTCGTTGGATCCGCCTGGCTGCTTCAAGTACAGACATTATACAAAAGATAGGTGTTATGGTCAGAGTGTAGACAATTTATTCTGAAGTTGTATAACTATAATAAGCATGATGGCAGCTGAAGAACGACCAAGTACTAGTAGACTAAAGAACAGGAAACCAGTTTTGATGAATAAATTGGAGGGCTGCGGAGGGAAGGTGAACAGTGCTGTGATTATTCCCAAAGAAGATGGTGTTATTAGTGTGAGCGAAGATAGGTAAGAAATACAAGTTATCAAACTCCATTGCAAAAAATCAGAGGATGGTAAGATTGCAAAAGGAAATGATAATTAAATTCAAAATAATTTTAAAAATGCTCTAAGCACTATATCGATCGTCATCACATCTGTGTCTGTACCATGTTTGTTTGATGTGACGTACTCTAGCTCTCTGGACTGAAGATGAAGTCGGAATTTTATAGAGTCGGAACATTTTACCTAGCTGTTTCAATGTGTTCCAGTTCTATGAAGAGTATGGTTAAGTAATCTTGTGGTCACCTTGTGATTTTTTCTCTAATTATAGTCTAGTTGTTTTTTAGATTTAGGGATGAGAAAACATTCACAGTAATGATAAATGAACCAGAAGTTTTAGGACAAACATGACAAACGTTGATTGTGATTGTTATCATGATAGACAGAGGATCTAATTGGCATTATTGTGAAATAGGATTAGAATGTCTTGATATCTTTTTTACTCCTCCAGCACTACACGCTGTGTCTTTGCACATGAATGAGTGGTTTCCTTTAAAAAGATTGACAGCTGTCTAATTCATGTTTTCAATAGATGATTGATATATGTACTGTTCTTTGAGGATTTTTTTGTCAGTTGCAGGTTAAATGTCTTCATCAAAATTAAGAAATAACGTTTTTATAGTGATGAATCTGGAGTCTCTGGACAGTGTTTTTTGTATAAATATGAGGAGATTTGAATTGGTTGTGCAGACGTGTCTGTTTTTTATTGACTCCAGTTCCATACGATGTAGCTAGTGTGGATCGATGCACATCTGAAATAGGGCCAAACCCACCCAGTTCCATTGAGAAATTTGAACTGAAATTTTACTTTTAGACTCGAAGACTTAAATTGTTTTTGTGGTTCTTATTTATCCAATGGAAATAGAATAATTTGAGCCCCCCCCCCCCCCCCCCTCCCCAAAAAATAGAAGAAAGTTTGTTGTGATGAATTTGATTTCTTGTTACAGGACGGTGCGGGTATGGCTTAAGAGGGATTCAGGAATGTACTGGCCCAGCATCTGCCACTCACTTCCAAGTAAGTCCAAAGTAAAGGTTACAATTCAAGATTCATTTTGAGGGAGGAAAGCGGAGGGGTGGGGGGATCATTTTATATCTTCTACAATATCATTCAGTTTTCCCCCATTATATATTCTCCACCATAGGCCTGTATAATGCAGGGCATCTTAAAGTCCAGACCGAGGTCCGCATCTGGACTTAGAATCCAGAAAAGAATGTAAAAGAGAAAAGCTGGACAGAGAGAGAGAGAGAGAGAGAGAGAGAGAGAGAAAGAAAGAAAAGACGAGGAAGAACATGAAACTTACATTTCCACAAAGATTACATCTCCGATGGGTAGGCTCGACACGTTCCTACGTAGACTGCGTGCAAAAGTATTACAGTATGAAGAAGGAAAAAACAGTTTTATAAAATTGTTTTTAAGAGAGAAAGAGAGGGGATTTCTAAAAAAAAAATTGGGGGCTATGTTACTTTCAAGGAGGAAATCGAAATTTGTATTACCTGTGACGGCCATTTTTAATTTTCTAAATTGTCAACAATTCTAGAACTTCCAGGGGCCCTGTCCTGTTAACAGTATAACTTTGTGATGTTTTTATTTCAGGCCCTGCAACTTGCATGGAATTCAGTAGCGAAACAAGACCAGTGGACCTTATACTGAAGGTGTTAACAGTATAACTTTGTGATGTTTTTATTTCAGGCCCTGCAACCTGCATGGAATTCAGTAGCGAAACAAGACCAGTGGACCTTATACTGAAGATGTTAACACTTAACAGTATAACTTTGTGATGTTTTTATTTCAGGTCCTGCAACATGCATGGAATTCAGTAGCGAGACAAGACGCATCTTCATTGGATTAGAGAGTGGTGTCATTTCAGAATTCTCCCTCTCTGAAGATTACAACAGACTTCTCTTTAGACGAGACTATTCAGGTAATCCTACTTAATCATTTTACTAATCTGTAGATGTAACAAATATTAATTTCACTTTTTTCATGTTGATCAGGGCCCCCGTCTTATAATATAAATATATTGACTGCTAGGAGAGGCATCCTGTAACGTCCCTGAGAGCCAGTATAGAAACAGCTGTGCTTCGAATATTAATTCAGTCTATATATGTTTTATATACCGAATTCATAAACAAATCTACAAAGAATTCTTACCTTATCCTTTTCTTGAGTAAAGACTGGTTAAAACATCACAGAAAATCTGAGACACTGTCTGTAAATCTTCGCGGTAAAGTTACCTGAATGTTTTGATCATTTGGAAATCGCAGACAAAAAGCACTGTATGGTTGCCGTGCTCGCACAAAGAAACCTTTTACACGTAAACCGATGGGGATCTCAGCAAAAGTTATTTATGTGGCCCGTTACCCAGGGCAACAGGCATCTTTTAAAAAACTATTGACCGGTCTTTCTCTTTATATAGAGGTTTCACTGTAATATCTGAAAGGCCATTATAGCACTGTTGGTTCAATGTGCTATGTGCTGTACACTAAAGGATTAGTTATTACTTTGAACAAATCTTTTTAAACACATTGTCTTCTTTCTTTCTTGTCATGTGTTTGCAGCTCATTCCAGTCTTGTAGCAGGCATCATATTCTCCGTCATAGCAGAGTTTGTACTCAGCGTGGGAAGAGATAAATATTTCCAGTGGCATTGCAGTGAGTCTGGAAGGAGACTAGGTGGTTTCAGACTCGATGCGTGGGGAACAGCTGTGCAGTATCCTTCATTAATTTTTTAGATATTAATTTTTTTAGAAAATTTAATTTTAGACAAAAATAAGGAATCATCCAAGTTTAATAGCAGAAAATCCTATTACTCTCCAGACTATCAGCTCACAAAGTTTATCCTATCCCTTCTCAAAGAAACAGATTTGAGTCTCAATCATATCCAATTTCATGAGACATACCAATTAAAATGTATCGACAATGAGATTGGAAAGACATAATTCAACTTGCTATAGATTGCATGATGATGTAGAGTCCACTATATTCTAGTTCTGATTTATCTTTGTTTACAACAAAAAATTAATATTTGGGAAAAGGTAGTGCATTTATGACATGACATATGATGACTTATATGTGACTGCCATTGGCATGTTTCCAACTAATTTTGCTTTCAACTGTCAAAGGGTGGATGTAGCTTCCTTATTCTTTGTCGAATCTCAAGTTTCCATTTCTTGATTTTCACTGCTTCTGTGCAGGGTCTTGTTTCATAAAAATTGTAATCAATAACAATGACTGTAATAAGCTACTGAAGTTGTGGCATTTGATTGGTTGAGCGAAAATTTGTCATAGAAATTTGTTATTGCACTTGTTATCGATAACATTGTTTCATGAAACAGGGCCCAGGCCATCTTTATTATGAATGATGGTTTCAAATCCGTTGCCTGCAGAAACCAGATGGCTCCAGTATTAAACCTGTTCGAACCAGATGGCTCCAGTTAGTATTAAACCTGTTGGAACCAGATGGCTCCAGTATTAAACCTGTTGGAACCAGATAGCTCCAGTATTAAACCTGTTGGAACTAGATGGCTCCAGTATTAAACCTGTTGGAACTAGATGGCTCCAGTATTAAACCTGTTGGAACTAGATGGCTCCAGTATTAATTATTAAACCTGTTGGAATAAGAAAATTTAGAAGTTGATGGGTAAATACATTATAAAGTCAGTAATGAGTTAAAGTAAGGAGCTTGTTTTTTTGAGTATCGGCATGACCATTTCCTTACATCAATCACTCAACTCAGATTTGACGAGGAATCCAAACATGCCTTCATTGCAGACTATTCTGGTCAAATCACGGTGTTAAAGGTCGATGATAACGATCATCAGGTCATCACAACGTTAAGGGGACATTCAGGTAAGACTACATAAGTTTAGACATATGGGACTGTACAGTCTGTTGAGGGCAACTCCATACACATAGTTCAACATGTGTATTTACCATAGGGGTGATCCTACATTTCCTTGGGACTCAATTGGTCCATGATAAGGTTTTAGGTTAGGTTTAGGGTTAGGGCCAGGTTTAGTTTTTAGGTTAGGTTTAGATTTAGGGTTAGGTTTAGATGAAGGTGTATTGTTTTCCCGTAGTTGAAGAACGCAAGAAATTCCATTTGTGTTAGAAATCAATCCAGAGCTATTGTTCCTGGAGCATGTATCATAAAGTGTGTGTTTGTCCTACATCATTTTAGTCGTGGCATCTCCATTGGGCTCGTGGTTCAGTTTACAGTCACTTCAAGATAAAGTTGAGTTCTGGTCATGCGATTGCATCGTGAAAGAAACGGTGTGGAATCGATCAGAAAAGGTGTATCATCTAGCATATATTAAAGTATTTGTGTGAATTGCAAGGTTCTGGAATCATCAAATGAAATTTGACCAAGTCTTGGTAAAGTTACAAGCACTGTACACAAAAGGATGTACAGTATATGGGACTACACGAACATGTGGCGTAAAAATCTGTCCCGATTTTTACGATATTACATGCCATATTTAGAATATGAAGGCATTTGAAGAGTCATGCTTTTCAGGGAACATGTTTTATCTGATGTTCTTCCACCCTTGCATTTAACAATGATGACACTCACAAATAATTGTTCACCTCTTCCCAGAACTCAACCTTCACTTCAGTCCCTGGCTCTCACAAGGATGAGATTTAGGGTTAGTGTTAGGATTCGTTTGAGGTGTTACCAGGGCCCAGTCTTATGAAGACTTGCACTTGATCCACAATTCCAAATCAATCGCAAGTCCTCCAATCAATCGCAAGTTGGCAGTCCCTGATCTCTTATGTACATGTAGTTGCGATTGATATCAATCACAAATAAGTTTAATTTAAATCAACTCTTTATAAAACGGGACCCTGCTCAATTAAAGATGTAAGGGTAATGAGACATAGGAGAGCTTCAAGGCTTAAGAAACATAAACTAGTTATATTTGCTTCACCTCTCTATGATATGGATACTCTTAGTTAATAGCTTAAAGGTAATACAAAGTTTTGGTATGGGGTCATGAATTTGTTTCAAACAAACATTTTGGAAGCATATGCAATCCTACAATATTTAGTGATCGTTGTCGCGGTTGAAATCGAGTCTAAAGTTATGAAATTGTAAATAATAAACTCTTTATGTTGTAAAGCTCCCTCTCAAGTTCAAGATATTAATCAAGCTATAGAACAATGTTTCTTGACTAAAATCAACCAATTGGCTATTTCCATTTGGAAATTATATCACAACTACATATTCTGAGATTTTCATGGTCGCAGCTACCATTGTACAGCCGTATGCGGTATTTGAAATTTATCAAAATTTACCGGGAGCACCGGTAAATTTTTATATTCAATTTTTCTCGAAAGCAGAAGTGTTTTAGGGGCTAAATTTATTAGTGCTAATAATACATCCATAAGGGCATCCAAATATATCAAAATTGTAAAGAATCATCGTACACCCAATTTTCAAAATTTCCCAAAAATTTGTATTACCGGTACCTTTAAGTTAAACTTTTGTCTATAAATGCATGTACAGATTGATTGAAGCATTTTATGTATACTGTCTGTCTTGATGGTGGTGTATAAGATAGCTTTATAATAGAACCGAATCCTTGTAATTAATACGTATTGTGGCTGATAACATTCGCCAAAGTTAATGGAAGGGTAATAATTTACAAGCACATAGGATATAGTTTCATACATGACATTAAATTAACAGGAAATAGCATGTTTTTAATATCATTATAAACTAGTAATTACCGGTAGTCTTTAGTCTAGATTATGACAGTTAAGAATTTAGTATGAGCTTCCTGTATGAGGTATTGATAGGGGTAAACACCCATAGGAAAGTGAAAAGTATGCCGCAGACCTGCCGCAGACCTGCCGCAGACTTTTAGTCTGCGGCAAAGAGTATGCCGAAGTATGCGGCAGAAAGAAATTTTGCTGCAGACTTGCCGCATACCAGTATGCCACAGGAACAGTCTGCGGCAGATCTGCGGCAGGATGAAATTTTGCTGCAGACTTGCCGCATACTAGTATGCCACAGGAACAGTCTGCGGCAGATCTGCGGCAGGATGAAACTTTGCTCCAGACTTGCCGCATACTAGTATGCCACAGGAACAGTCTGCGGCAGATCTGCGGCAGGATGAAATTTTGCTGCAGACTTGCCACATACTAGTATGCCACAGGAACAGTCTGCGGCAGATCTGCGGCAGGATGAAATTTTGCTGCAGACTTGCCGCATACTAGTATGCCACAGGAACAGTCTGCGGCAGATCTGCGGCAGGGCGAAACTTTGCTCCAGACTTGCCGCATACCAGTACGCCACAGGAACAGTCTGCGGCAGGTCTGCCACAGGAAATCCCATTAAAGTCTAATAGGGCCAATTGAAACCAATCATCTCATGCATATTCATTATTACTTTACACGTGTGACAGAAAAATACATTTATCATGATTTGTTAAGCAAATTAAGACAATGCACATCATTTTTGTGATTTCTATTTTCCTTTTGCCATTATTAACCAATAGATTATTTTGTCTGATCATGTTACAATTACATTCATTTAAGCAATAGATATATTGATTACTAACCAAGAAATTATGATTACTAACCAAGAAACAATATACATATTTAGTATATATATGTGTACGAGCCTGTGTCACTTTAAATGTTACTCTTGAATACACTTCAAATGATCAATGTGATGAAGGTAATACAATTGAGAATAGAATATACCTAATTGGTAATATCGATATATATTGGTATTACCTAATTGGTAATATCGATATTGCCAATATCGATTATGAAGTATCAATCAGTTTATCACTGGTTCTTCTACATGCATACTTTATTGCCACGTACTGGATATGAAAGAGTATGCGGCAGGTCTGCAGCAGGTCTATATGAGATATGAATATTCATGGCGAAGAGTCTGCGGCAGGTCTGCCGCAGACTTGCTGCAGACCTGCCGCAGACTCTTCATCATACTGATAGAGTATGCGGCATCATACTGAAAGAGTATGCGGCAAGTCTGCGGCAAGTCTGCGGCAAAACTAATTTGCATGTGAAAAAGATGACTGTCTGCGGCAGGTCTGCTGCAGATCTGCCGCAAGTCTGCCGCAGCAGTATGCGGCAGGCTCATTTCTTTCCTATGGGCATGCTCAAATATGTTGGGAATCGTACTGTAGTATTTTGTCATGGTTCAATACACATCAATTATGACAATGCACATGTATAAAGCCTCGGTCACAAATGCCATTACGAACTGCTACAAATGCCGTACGAACGATTTTTAGACAATGGAAATTTGGAAAGACAATGGAAAAACGGAGATTTGTACACAGTTATCGTTCGTAGTTGTACGAACCTTTGTGACCATAGCATTACATTCCATAAGTATGAACTATATCGGATTACATCCATTGTACATGTAGATGATGATGTATTAGGCTTATCAGTATCATTTCCTGGTTTGTAAAGGGCTCTTCACCATTATGAGTGTACACAAGGGGATGGTATAAAGATATCGCTCAAACTAGGAATGGAATGTGGATTGTCTAGATTCAGCTCAGTGTTAAACGTATAGACCAGTTTTGGTCATGCGATTGCTTTGTGAAAGAAACGTGAAATCAATCAGAAAAGGTTGACCATCTAGCATAAAGGTATTGGTGTTTACTGCAAGGTTCTGGAATCATCAAAATGATAAGAAATGTGGCCCAGTGTTGGTAAAGTTACAAGCACTGTACACAAAAAGATGTATATGGAACTACCCTATATCTATCCAGTACCCTATATCTATCCAGTCCAAATATAGCTGTATATAGATATACAGGTTTCCTGGCAAAATTTTTATCATCACGTAATACACGTATTAGTCAAAACATATTCTTTCACATGATTGATAATAAGAGCTTCCATTTCATTTTTTGAGTGGGGGGCATTTCCAAAACTGGTCTTTACCTTTAACTGCAAATTGTGGTCACTAAGATACTCTTATTTTCTTGGATATAGATGTTTATATGAATATATACATGTACACATCTAAATCATAAGCATCAATCAAAATTGAAAGCACATGTCCATCATTTTATAAATGTTTGTATATAATTTTTTTCTTATCTTTTCCTCAAGCAAGGTTTTTGTTTCCATAATTTCAATACTATTTGTGTATATTATATGATCCTGTATTATTTCCTTCTTTATGAGTGTAGACGTAGTTTTAGAAATTAACCAAGGTTGTATAATTCAATGGAATGATACCAAGTGTTCTGGAATTTCTTTTGTAAAACAATTATATTGAATGATAAATGAGACTTGTTACTTTCTTTACAATGTGAATATGGCAATACAAGCTTGAATTGTTTCTTTTTATGAGCAATGAAAATTATTAAAAAAAATCTCAGTTGAAAGTTCTATGAGGCATGCATGTATTATTATTTAACACCTCTGAATCTGTGCATGTGTTGTATACCGTAATAATCTGTATTGGATACCAAATTATTTTGTAGACAGAATAAATGGAAAGCCTAGGTTTGCAGTCTATTTTTGTTCAAAGATAATTTTGTTACAGTTTTTGATCAACTGGTATTGATTTATAAATATTTTTTGTTATTAAAGATAATTTTGTTAAAGATATTATTAACCTGACATTGATTAATAGAAATGCATACCTGCCAACCCTTACAAATAATCTGGAAATTCTGATTTTTTGTTGTTGTTGTTTTTTGTTTTTTTGTGCTTAAACCAAATTAAGTTGTTTTATCATGTGCCGCGATTGAGAGTTCATGTATTGCGTGCGTTGAATGGCTGCATGATCGAGCAGTGAATTTGTGTTCGCTTTTTGATACAGATTTACCGCGTATTGCCAGTTACGCTGCAAGTGCGATTTCTTATTTTTGAAGGCATAACGTGCTAAAAATTCCTACCATAATTCTTATTTTCAAATGTTGGCAGGTATGGAAATAATGCTTTATGAAGTTTTTAGGAACGATATTGCAATAAGACGTTTTTGTTTTTGTTTTTTGTCCCCCCCCCCCCCCCCACACACACACAAACAGGAAGCATCAGATGCCTGCATTGGGATGGAGGGAGGAAGCTTTTGTTTTCAGGGAGCTTTGATCAGTCTATCATAGCATGGGACATTGGAGGACGTAAAGGAACCGCATATGAACTACAGGGACATCTGTAAGTATTGGGAAATTCAATTCAATTCAATTCATTTCAAGACTTTATTCCAGACTCAGGTGCAAAAGCAGAGGTCCATATAACGTATGTACATGTAGATATAAATAATGAACAAGAATAAGAGGGGAACACATTATTAAAACTGACATAATGATTTACATGAAGATATAAACAATGACAGAATAATAGGAGAATACATACAGATATGAGAGAAACAAAAACTAAACTTCTTTAAACAACCTCTGCCGACCGTGACAACTGAAGAAGAAAAAAAATGTCATCCTTTTTGGCTAAAAATTGCTGGCATGTGCTTGATGTAAAAAGCTGGCAAGAAAACAGCATATTGTTTTGAGCTATGTCTGAGGCACCTAAAGACTGATTGAAGACAGTGAACTACTAAAGTTGCATGGTGTATGTAATCAGACATGCATGCTGGATGCTGGATGTTCTAATAGGGAAATGACAACTCAAGGATATTTGATTGGCAATCCCATATGTGTATGTGTGTAATCTATGTTGGCCCGTTGTAGTGTGCATGGGTTACAATGGGGATTGTTTAGGTATTCTTGATAGTTTCTAGAACACATGTGGGAATTATTATTGAGTGTTACGTTTAGCTACATGTACATGTATGTGTCTGGTCAACAATTCAGAACTTTCTTACACTTTCTTCACAATTCAGTTTTACTAGTAGAACACAAGACTACCTACATGTTTAAGAGTGTTTCTGTATTTGCAGATTACATTGTGTGTGGAAGTCAGTATGACCTCATTCCATCACATGACATTGATCACCTGATACTTGTTATCACCTGACATTGGTTCTGCTGATATAAAGTATGAAGAACCATGGGACAATGGAAATCACTACACAAATTGCCATTTGGTGATCAGTATGTGGCGTCATTGCCTCATTAAATATCAATTGTTATATTTGTATCCATTGTTTGCCCTTTTTATCCCCCAAAACTTGATTTCCCCATACATGCCTTTGTCCAGGTTACATGATTTGGATTATATTGCGTGCATGACATTTCACAAAATCTTTCATGAACTTTGAAGAATTGATACTATTTTCTGAATATTGAATATGCATAATTATGGAGCTTTAAACATTTCATCAGCTTACTCAGTCTATTCTTGCTGATTAGTGATACACGTGATTACAATATCTTTTATGAATTTCATGAGTGGTTTTGATTTTTGATAGTTTCTTGACACAAAATACATTGAATCACATGAATAAATATTAGTGATTCTGGATACATTCTTGTTGAAAAATGGCAAAAGCATCTAGTTTTAAAATAAAATCAGCATGTTATATGGCAAAAGCATCTAGTTTTAAAATAAAATCAGCATGTTATATTATTGACATGTCTAGCCATACAGTAAGCATCTCTAATAATTGCTTGTATGATGTTTATATTGCACAGAGGCAAGGTGGATGCAGTGAGCTACTGTGGACGCAGCAAACATCTCTTCTCAGGTGGGGATGATGGCAGGGTTGTCGTCTGGGATATGGATGATCGCAGGATAGAGGTAAGGTTCTGGTTTTGTACCAATTGGAACATTTGTGTTCTTTTTGTGGCAGCTCGTTTATGTACAACGAAAAAAAAACCCCCCCCCCCCCCCCCCCCCCCAAAAAAAAAAAAAAAAAAAAAAATCTTACTTGCTTTTAATTTCCCTATGCCATCTAGAGGTGAACATACTTTTGAAAGCGAAGAAATTCACAAAATCCCCTGTAAGATCACGCTTCACAAGTGAAGAAAAGGGAAATAAGGACTAACTGCCAGATGGAAGGTACATAGTCAAACAGAAAAAATGGAACTGAAAGTGATGGAAAATAAATTGACTGTGATTATGTTGTCATCATATTAATATGAAATAAAGTTCTGGTCAAGATAATGTAAGTCACTTGCCATGAGTAATTTAAGTCCAAATTAATTAGGAAAGTTATATCTGAATGAAATATTTTGTGAGCTTCTGAAATTTGGAGTGGCTTAGAAATAGCAAACACACAAAGGAATACTGAAAGATAAAATTAAGAATATTGGTTCTTGTATAGCGCTCATATCTGTCAGACTTGACACTTCTGGTGCTCCCAATTAATGCTCTGGCTTCAGCATGGCTTCCATTACGGCCCTTTAGCATTTCAAGGAATTAAATCCTGCCAGGTATCCATTTACATCACCTGGGTTGAGTGTGACAAATGTAGATCAATGTCTTGCCAAAGGACGCGGAGCTTGTGATCCACAGTCCAGTGACATATCCACTCGACTACGACACCTCTAAATTAATTATTTATTGAAGGAGATGGAGAAGGAGAAGGAAAGAGGAATATTTTTGGTGATATTCATTTATGACTCTTGTTTTCATTTGTGTATTTCCCACAGACCCCAGATTGGCAAGAGAGTGATGTCTGTCAAAAGTGTGGTGATCCTTTCTTCTGGAATTTCAAGGAAATGTGGGAAAAGAAAACCATTGGTGTGAGACAGGTAAGAAACCATTACATTCTTTTGAAATGTATTAGGTGTTCTGAGTTTATAGGTATACATTTCTTTTAAAGATTATCGTAAGTTCTGGTAATACTGAGTGCCTATCATAAACAAGGAAATGTAAAGATAAATGCTTCAAACTTACTTCAATTAAAATTTGATGTTAGCACTGAAATCATTGGACAAGACCTAAATCTTACAGGTATGAGGATGGCATAATGTTTTTTATGATTACATACATGTCTGTGATTTTCTTCGATTTACTAGACTTGTATGTTCATTTCTTGTGTTTGTATACATTATACAATGTATTATTAGATCTGTAACTTATGATTTCTTTTTCAATTTGTTATTTGTAACTAGCATCACTGTAGGAAGTGTGGTAAAGCGTTGTGTGATGAATGCTGCTCCAAAAGAACGAGGCTTCCTACTCTAGGCTTTGAGTTTGAAGTCAGGATTTGTGATGCGTGCCTCGAAGATATCACAGATGACGAGTAAGTATCATCAGGCCTGTCTTCATCAGCTTGAGATTGCTAAATATCCCGCTATTTCAACTATACCGATCGCAAACTATCCAGTTAGTTTGCGTTTTCATTAGCCCAAAGGTGCAATTAGCGGGATATTTGGTCGGGATAATCATCCCAAGATATCTTGGGATAGTGTGCAAAATATCCCGCTATTTGTCTGGTGCGTCTTCACCAGCCCGAAGACCATACCTGCCAACCACCCCGATTTAGGCGGAGTTTCTCCGCATTTTTCATACCAACTCCGAATTCCGAGTGCATGCCTCAAAACTCCGATTTTTTTTAAATTTAATTTTTTTTTTTTTTTTTTTATTTTTTTTTTTTAATAATTTTTTTAAAATTAATATTTTGTGTGTGCGTCCGCCATTTTCAATGGCAAAATGTCCATTCTGTCCTGTAAAGTATCCTACAAGCATCTCACATCAGCAATTTGGGGATGTTTATTCATACCTGCGTATAGCCCACGTGTATTTATATTACATGTGCAGTTGATACGCCGTGCATAAACACTGTATACATTGGCGTGTTTTCTTCATGCTTGTGCGATGACTGCGATCGTGGAAGCTTGTTATTTACCGGACTTCCTCAGATTTATTTTGGATTACTACTACTATATACCTTTGCAAAATAGGGCTCCTAACTGAGGTGGGTAGTGAAACATGTAGTTTTGTGAGTGTTCACATTTCAAAAATTGTTTATGTGTGGGGCGAAAAGGTTGAAGGAAAAGGCCCATTTGCACCATTAAAATGGAGAGAAAAAAAAATAGACCCTAAAGTCCTGTGTACCCCCCCCCCCTCCCCCCCCCCCCCCTCCCCCCCCCCCCCCAATCTACGGGCTACTACCCCAATCCTTCGGTGGTTCGCGACCTCGTAGTCCATCCAGAAAAATTTACTCCTAATTTCTCTTGTCTCAGGTTGGCAGGTATGGAAGACTAGCACTATGCGCAAACGCTGAGCAAAATATCTTAAGCTAATTGCTCAAGGTCGAGTTTCAAGTTTCGAGGTTGAATCTTGAGCTGAGGAAGACGCGATTTGTAACTTCGAGATTATTTCCCAAATCAGAAATAGCGAGCTATTTGGCAATCTCAAGCTAATGAGGACACGCCTAGAGACAGGTGTTTAATATTAAAGAGCTTAAATACTTTTTTGTTGACATTTTAAATCCTTTTGAGTTTTGCTCTTGATCTTGCACATTGTGAATGGCTTCTTGATAAAAGATGATAGGTATGATTAGAAATCAAAATCATTGCATTATTATTAGGCACTGTTTGACTATTCACTTTCCTTGACCAATCAGTACTTTTGATGGTGAATGGTATACAGTCAAACCTGTCTGTAACGACCACCTGTCCGTAACGACCACCTGTCCATAATGACCACTTAAAATCCCCCGTGAGATTTCATGTAGTTAAGAACCCGTGCACAACGACCACCTGCCTAACGCAACCAACGGCCACTCATTTTGCTTCCGCTGGCGACCGAAAATGCCCACACAACAACCACCAGCGCCAGCCATGTACCGACCAACAGCAGAAGTGTAGCGACCAGCAACTGCACAGCACTTAGGCAATTCCGTACAAAGCTAGGCTATCAGCGACACAACGATCGATGCCTGCGAGAGGCCTGGTGAAGGGAAGGGGCGATGTCTATCAATCAATTATTCAGGCCGGCTCAATCATTTTTATTTCTTTTAAATTATTTAAGATATGCATTTAAACAAAAATGCAGGACAATTTCAAAGAAATAAAAGTATGTTAAATCATTTCCAATTTTATTTTGACTAAAAACTATACCAATCATTCTTTATTTTTATTTTTTTTTAAACCCCCAAACTTCCGTTGTTCGATTTTTCGATCGGCTCTCTACCGCCTTTTCGCTCGACTGAGCCCATATAAAGCCACAGAGAATGGTTCATGCACTGGCGGGTCTGCGAGAGGCCTGGTGAGTGGGCGGCGCGCTGTCTATCAATTATTCCAAATCAAAATGGCTGCCAAAGCCTACCTGTCTACAACAACCACTAGTTGTGTTTCCCTTGGGTGGTCGCTTTAGACAGGTTTGACTGTATTTACTTTAAGAAAGTAGTACCTTGTGAGTAGAACTTTAATTGTTATATTTGGTTCAGAATTGTCCCTGACTCGAATGTATACATAATGTCTATATTCTCTTATTTGATCATTAGCCGAGTCCCTATGGCAACGTTTCATGACGCCAAACATAACATCATTTCTATGCACATTGACGTTGTTAAAGGTCAGATGGTGACCTGCGGAACAGATAAAGTAATTAAGGTAAGCATCATATTAATGGCTACATGGTTATTTTGCCATTTTTTATACTGAAAGTGAAACCTTGTTGATACATGATGCAGAGAACTGCCTCAAAATGAATGAATGCTGCAGCAAAATATAAATAGGGGTTTTGAGAAACTAGGTGTGTGTAACAATGATTCTAATGTATGCTTAGTGATATGTGGTGTCATAACAGAAATAGAAATGAAGCTCACTATGCCACAGTCATTTTAGTTAGCTGTGGAAGTCTCTTACCACCCTTGTTCCAATGACACAATACAGACAATAGACTAAACATAAAAATGCATTACCCAGAATGTTGAATTGATGGCTGTTCTCTACTGTTATCATATATCTTGTTTGTGATCTTTTTAAAAGATCAAGTTATATGTCACAACTTATAAATTCCAGAGTCATAGTTTTTATAAGCTTTAGAATTTATTTATTCGACATTAAATTACGATTATAAATTGTGTCATCTTTTCTGTTTCTGTTTTTTTTTTTAGCTATGGGACATTTCATCGATTATATTCTGAGAATTCATATTACAGTGAAGGATCAGAGATGTTTATATCAACAGCGCCCTCTGCTGGTCAATGAAGGATAATCTCATGACGACTTGTACAATATGATTGTACATACATAGTGGTTGATATATGCACATGTGCTTACAAGAGTATACAGTTTGATAATGTAAATAATGTGGACAATTTCCTGAAGTTTATTTGAATATATGGGAAAAGAAATAGTGAGGTGCACAGGAAGCTTTTGTTAATTTTTCAAGACGCAAATCAGTATCAGAAAGCTTTTTTTTTTTTAGAGTGTTATTGCTTTTGGCAGATTACCTGGAAATGAGTCTTATTTGCATTGTTTGGATTTTAGTATTAAACACAAAAATCAAAAGTTGTGTGAACCTTTTGCTAACAAAGAATGATGTGAGGAATTTAAAGATTTTGAACCTTTTGTTGTGAGACCAAATATGTTTAATTTTTTTAACTTAAAGCTAATCTTGAGCTCTGGTATGGGAATCGTATGTTAAGAACATGGCTACAATTCATTCTGGATTATTTATCCTGCAGTAGATTGGATGTTTGAACTAGTAAAATAAAAACAAACTCACAAAAACTTGCCATCTTTCTAGAACCACAGCAATCACATACATTTTTATTATCATTATCTGAATGCCATGACTACAACTTAACTATACTTCTGTTTTAAAGTCCTACTCCAAAATTTCTATTCCCCCTTCCAACAAAGTATCAAATGTGTTAGTCATTACATGTAATGCTCTTAAAGGTACCATAGTCATTGCTCTTCAAATTGTCTTAAAGCTTATAAATATGTCTGCTTAATTCTTTTGTCTTTCTCTTATTGAATGTATCTTTCATTAGTACAAACAAACCAAATTAATTCAACTAGGGAAAATGAAATGTCTAAGTTGAATATTTATTTAGATAAGAAAAGAATGAATTCCTGTGCTGATATTGACTCGAAAAGAGAAACATCTCATAAATACATCAAAAAATATTTCATCTCAGAACAATTTGTTTGTTAAATACTAGAGAGTAGTTTGTGAAAGGTAGAAATGACACATTTCCAAGATAACCTTGTAAGTGCACTGAACTATTAAATGCTCTTGCCTATGTAATTTTTCTGGTACTATTTGTTCCAATGCAGACGCTACATATGAAAGTTCAAAGGTCATTTTTCAAAAGAATGTCCTGAGATTCAAAGAATGTTTTTCATCTCTGAATGAATTCCTGTAATAATCGAATTTGAATTATGTGCAGACAATCTAGAAATGAAATAATGTATGAAGTACACTGTACATGTATATCAGCTACAACGTATTGTCTTTTCTATTTTTTTGTTATAAATGTGTAAAGATATTATCAGAGGCACCACTAGCTTTCTACATGATTTGTTAGGAAATAGAAAATGATAATTCTTCATGATACTTAATTCATTAGTCAATTTATAGATGATCTGAAATTATCCGCTTATTTTCAATTTCTCTGTTTGTAATTTTAAAGTCAATTTTCTTTGATCTTCGTTGCATTAATTTTTATGTTAAACATGAAATGGATGAAGCTAGTATATTTTGTAGGTAATTTGACACCATTTGACAACTTTGTTTAATTGTGCACTGGTTGATACAGCAATGGTGACGGTCTATGCAGATATTTATATCTGTAAAGCGCTTTGAGAGGGCCTTCGGTCCTGAAAAGCGCTATATAAGAACTAGCTATTATTATTATTAAAGGGTATGCATGATGCATATACATGGATGATGTAATAACCTCAAGGTCACTTCACTCTAAATAATTTCTCATTATACATTTCAAAATCCAAATCTAACAAGAAGAACTTGAATTCAAGCTACCATTTTATATTATTTTAGTGTCAATATATATTTCTGGTATCGGTATAATTTGTCTACTTTCTGCAACCTACATGTATATAACATATCTAAAATATCAAGAGGAACTTTTTAAATTCCATGCAACCAACAAAACCCTTGTGAAAACAAGGTAAAGGATGAAAATAGGCAGAACTCTTGCAATTCCCATGCGTTAGTAATTGGTAATTCAGGCAGTCTTTGTTGCTGAGATTTGTCTGTTAAGTGGAATGATAATTTCATGAGTGTTCAGCCGGGATTGGATTAGTTTCTTTTAATGTTCAATGCATAACAAACTTCATACCACAGACTTGTCTTTGTTTAGAATAATGAAATGTGTTATTACACCGAGCTCAAACAAAATCTGATTACCAATCATGTGAAAGAATATGTTTTGACGTGATGATACAAATTTTGTCAAGAAACTGCCTACTAATTGATATATTTGGTAAAAAATCATATCTATTTGGACCTGATAGATATAACGCACGTGTCATGCACGTGCGGGGGGTAGTCCCATATACATCTTTCTGTGTAGACTGGGCCAAATTTCTTATCATTTTGATAATTCCAGAACCTTCCAGTACACACCAATACTTATATGCTAGATGATCAACCTTTTCTGATCGATTCCACAACGTTTCTTTCACAATGCAATCGCATGACCATAACTGGTCTTTATTTTCAAGCATTACAGAAACTTTATTTTCATAAACAAATTATTTGTTGTTGTTGTATTTTCATGCTAGGCATTTACTGGCTCCATGTACTGCTGACATCTCATTACCCTCTCCACATGCAGATAACAAAACATCAATATCCAGGCAAATAATTTGTCAAGCTTTTTAAAAATGATATGAAAATAATAAATGATCAAGTATTTTACTTGGACGTCTCCTTTGTTGTGCAAGTTTGGTGAATAATGTGATGTTAAAAAAACAAAAGTAACTGCAGAGAGAAAGAAGAATGTCAACTCTGTGTAAGAGTTTGAGTTATTATTAAAGGGATCGTTTAACAATGTTAAATCTGAGATAAACGGCCTAACGTGTTATCAGTGTCTGTGATATGGTATAATCTTGAAGTCCAAAAAAAATTGCGCTTCAAAATGATCAAGAAGTGCCTCAAAAAAGTAAAAATCTTTTAGTGACCAGTTTTACCATACCACTCGTTTTCCACAATAGACTGTAGTGTTATGAAAACCGTTAAGCAAATGGTTTTCAAAATTTGTAATTCCAATCATAAATATCTTGATAATCAGACAGGCGATCGGCTTATAAAAGTCATGGGGTTCCTGACTGACCTAAAGGTGTATAATTATCATTACAGCATGAGCTAAATCCAGGATTTTGTTTCAGAATCTGTGACAAAGTTACCGGATCCCTTTTAACATCCTTTTCTTGGTCTCGACAGATAATTTTGATAGGCTTTCATTCCATGCAAGGGGCCGATTTGCATCATCAGACACAATTTCCTTTGTTTCATTATGGTATCATTTATGTGTGGTAAATCTGTGTCAAATGTTTCTTAAGGATGATCAATTCATGTACATGTATTGCAGGCACCTTACTCAGACTTAAAGTATGTGTTCAGTTCTAATGACTTCAACACCCTAAGTATGTCTTCAATTTTTATGCGTGCCTTTACAATGGCTGCTATTGTCGATCCTAGCGATTGCCAGAAAGGTTCCTGACATAGCAACATATTTTGTCTGCAACATGCATTCTCACTATTCAAGTATAATAACTTGTGATATGTAAGTACATGTATATATGAACCCAATAGAGTTGAATCCAATAATTGATCACAGGACACTTGTAAAGATGTGCATAACCAAATGTTATCCCTAGTATTTAAAAAGAATTGTAGCTGTAATGTTGTATGTGGCAAATGAGATGATAGGAAATATATTTTTGAGTGTGTTTGTACACAACTTTGTATTATGATTGGACCGCATGATGGTGACAGATCATGTATACATGTACATGAAGAATTACAATCAATGCATCATTAAAGAAATTAGAAATAAATGAAATGGAATGTATCAATGAGTTCTATTCTTTTCTTTTGAGGGGAGTGGAGGAGGGGGTTGTCTTGCTTGTTTCAGTGAGAGTGATAGAGGAGCAAAGAAAAAAAAGAAGATATATATATATCTTCAAATTGTTGTTGAACAATTATGTGTGCCTTTTGTTTCCTAGAATGTCGTGTTTGATTTTCCTTCTTACTTTGCCTTGCTTGCTAAGAAATTGAGCACACATGTTGTAGGTAAAAATAAATACAATCAATCTTTTGTCTGGAATATATTAAAGAGTGCTTTAATCAACAACACCAAAACAATCAACATGTAATTTCAAATAATTCAACACAATTGATATTTTATCTTCCAATTTATGTCATGCTATTGCTCAAGTAGAAGAAAACGAAGGTCTGCATTAATAAACAGGCTTCATAACATATACCGAGATTACAAAAAAAAAAATCTTGTCTTAGCACTCACACTTCCGTCACTTCAACAAAACAGGAGAAAAAATTGCAAACCAAAACAGTAACAAAATCTTGTGCTCTTAACCTAAAAGAAACTCAATGTTCAAATACAGAATACACAATGTACACATGCACATTGATGTATACAACACAGCTGTTTGTATAAAGACAGAAATGAAATGAAAGCATTGCGTTAGGGGATGAGAGAGGAAACTATAGTATTATTTTCAAGCCTTCAGAATATAAATATGCCTACAACATCACTACAAAGATACACTTCCAAAAGATGCCCCCCAGAGCAGAATTCCACATGAAATTTGCTCTATTGGTAGAACATTAAGATATACCGATGGGCTGGCGTATGATAGATTCAAACAATGAAAGTTCTCTTGAAGTCAGATGAACATTTATGGAGGCCTTTCATCAAATATAATCAATTTCTTCTTTCTTCAATCTTCATTTTCATGACTTGATGTGCATAAAGCCATAGCCTTTCTGATTGTTCATCACTATGTTTATCATCATCTTGTTTGCAAATAATACCATTCTTCATAAGCTATATTTGGCACTGAAAATGTACGAATGAAATTTAAAAAAATGTCAAACTGATGCTTACAGAGTGATTAACATGTAATTACATGTATGTCGAGCTGTACAAAATGTAATGGCATGTGATTAACAAAATTGTCATTATCTACAAATGTATGTCAAATCTAGCTAGCTGGAGTAGACATGTATTAGAAGCAGTCATTTTAACTAGAGCACTTTTCTGCCTCACCTAGAATATTCTGATGAAAGGAAAGATAAATGATGCATGGCCAGATGCATTCTGTTATCAAAAAGCAGTGCATTTACGTGCAAATATACATGTTGCTAAAGAGCTACTAGAATATAGGAGGAAGATACATCTAGTTTTTTTTTTAAAACTTGCTTTGTCCTAAGAAGTCAATGAAACATTTTCTTTCAGATCAATTCAAGATTTCTTTCTAATCTCAATCAAAAAGCAAGCTTTATATCATGATCACAGACAGACATTGCAATATCATTTTATCCTCAAACACAAATTTACAGAAATGGGTCCTCTTAAAGTATATTTACATACTCGTTTTTTAAATATCTTTTTAGACAATAACAAAAGTTGAATACATCAACATTCTTTCTCTGAGAAGTCTTATAGTGCTTCAAATCAAAAGTTCATCCAAGGAGTGTATCCTTGGTCTATCTACTATTTACAAACATTGCAAAACACTTCCACTAAATATTCCTATCTCAATCCCCTTTCCCCACATGGAAATTCATAACCCATGTTTATTCAGACACAAACTCAACAGCGCTAAGAAACATGTTTAATGATATTCATTACTACAGGTATCAATAAAAAGCAATACAAATAGAGAAGGTTGTCACGCTTTCATAAGCACAAACAAAAAACAAGGTCACAATAACAAAACGTTGTTACTCTGAGCATGAGAGTACTGTTAAACCATCAGCTTTTCCACATTGTTAATGACCAATGCATTCAATGTAGGAAACCTGAGGAGAATTATGACCACTCAAAATCCCTCAAAGTTCTAAGCTTGTAAAAGCTTCTCGCTATTACAGTACATGTAGACTCCATCTACAATTCTGAGCAAAATATGACCTTTTGACCTTCCTCCATTCTTGTTTTTTTCTTATACTAACCATACCTATCTAGCACTAACCTTAGCTTATAGGCAGCCCATCACTGAAAAGTTACCTAGTTTTCTAACCTTTTCATGACTGCATAGAAACATACACTGTACTAACAACTAAAGCTTGAAATACAATACAACTTATTGTGCTATATACAGGGATGCCAGTAAGAAGTGATCAGAATGCCTGAAAATCACCTAGAATGAGCTATTTTGTACACAAAAAGCCTTAACTTTGGTCTGAAAATAACTCGCCAGGGCCTGAATTCAGGCTATTGCCTGAAAAATGGCATCCTTGTATATAGTTAGAGCCTATCACATAAAACATGAAAAACGCCTCTTTACTGGAAGCATTTCCTAACATTTCAGCAGCTGCATGGTCCTATATTCAAAATTGCTAAAAGCAAGGCAGTGTTCAATATCTTCAAATAACTCAGTCTTATCTCTAATCAATAGGTCAGTTCACATATGTATTTATTTGCATGGATGGATGTATTACCTAATCATAAATAATAGCGTGACAAATTTCTCTGTTGCTAGTACTTTAAGAATCAATATGTAGCATGGATACATTATATGTTGCCAAACTTGAGGGGAAGGGAGTATCACCTGTGAACTGGTCAATTTGTAATGTGTGGGCTCAATGAGCTCATGAATGGAACATGCACAACATTGTACAGCCAGCTTTTAAATCACAAGGCATAAAGTCTATGTAGCAAGCATGTAATGAATGCCAATTCACATCTACAGTTATGGAACTCCCTACCCCATTCAATCAAAATTTGTTAAAAAAAACTTGAAAACCTACCGGTATCTAATGTCTGAATTCCTTAGTTATGACATAGTGTATTTCACAATCTGATGTAATTAACATTGTTTAATTATATTTAATTATTTTCGTTCTCTATAACTTCTCATGTACTTTCTTATGTTTAATGTATTTACCTTGTTCGGCGCTTTGAGCATCCCTTGGGGTGGATATGTGCGCATTATAAATGTTGTTATTACTATTATTATTATTACAGTTTGAAAACACATTTCAATAATATCAATTTGTATTATTCTTTCATCTCCAATTAGTTATTTTTATTAACACATCTTGAATTAATATATGAAACAAGAATTGATTCTGAAAATTAAATGCTTCTACAATTACCTTTAAAGCTCAGAACCGATTATAATGCACGGCTAAGATATTTATTAGGTATCTGCCACCAAAACAATCAAATTATATTATTTACAGGATTTATCTTGTTGGCATGATCTACATATTAAACTACGTTTCTTTTTATTGAAGAAGAAACAAAATAAGATTCATTCTATCAATGTTCTTTCTGTATAAACAAATTGTGTAATGTGCAATAAAAGCATGCAAAGTGAATGATGAACATTTATTTTGAACCATCATCTGTAATGATGCAATAACACTTTAAATTAATTCTGATGATCAGTTTTTCTGGATGCTTCCTCAACTTCAGAGTCCATTTTGAATATACAAGTTTCTTGAGTGAAAGTGCTGAGTGGTGATCCTTTCATCATCGGTGCTTTCCATACATCCTATTGATTTCAGCACTGTATTGATTTGCGATGGGTTTGCGTTTGAGCTTGAAAGCATCTGTCACCAGTCCGTTTTCAGGGGTCCATGCTTCTTCACAGAGATGGACTTTGCGGGGAATTTCCCATTTCTGGAGCTTGGCTGGAAATAAGAAATAAATAAAGCAGAAGTAAATTAACTGTGGATTTTAGATCATACGATGTGTCCACCCTTAACCCTATTTAACCCGGGCTATTTTGAAACTGCATAGCCCAGGGGGGTGGGGGGGGGGGGGGGCGCGAAAATTTGCATACATGTCAAGTGAAGTGTATAGAATACTATGGTAATTTCAATTTTTTGAAAAATTCACTCATTTGCATATTTATGGTAATTTATGCAAATAAGGTCATCAAATTCACATTTTTGAAAACCAGGGTTATTTCTTATGTTATCTATTGTTTTAATAATTTCTTATGTATTTCTTTGTTTTTTTAACTTTTTTTTAAATTGTTTTTGTTGTTTTATTTCATTTCCAACTATAATTCAACTATTTTGATCCCAAAATAACACCTAAACTATAAACAAGACCAAATAACCAATGTTTTATCTCTTTATTTGAAAAATGAGATTTCCATACGTTTTGTACACAAATCACAAAAATGAGTGATTTTCGGGCTGACATGCTAAGACAAAAGGACACGTGACTTTGTAATGGTAGGTCCGATTTTCGAAAAATTTCTTTGAAAAGATGCACAAGACTCGAAAGGAAAAAGTCACAAAATTTTCTTGTGTTAAAAAATTATCGCGAAAAATGTCAAGGGGGGGGGCTTCTAAAGCCCCCCCCCCCCCCCCCCCCCGGGCTAAATAGGGTTAAAGCCTGTCTGCACTAGTTTGGCCAGGGGGGATTAGCCCTCCCTGCAAGGTAACTGAAAGGTGGTTATCTCATCAAATCAGCTCTCAATTAACATGAGAATAAGGGATCATGGGGGACCAACAGGCACCGATAAGGCATTGTTTGGTATATAGAGGGCACAAGTAGCTATAAGTAGTACAGTTGGGATTTAAAGAGAAGGTTGAGTTCTGGGGAGAGGAGAGAAAAATAATTTGTGAGCTACATTATGCAAGTCTGGAAATAATCAGAGAAAAAATGTTCCCTGAAAAGCATAGCTCTTCAAATGCCTCCATATTCTAAATATGACAAGTAACAAAAAATGAGGCCTGATTTTTATGTCACATGTTTGTGTAGTTCTATTTACATCTTTCTGTGCACAGTGCTTGTAACTTTACCAAGACTGGGCCAAATTTCTTATCATTTTGATGATTCCAGAACCTTGCAGTACACACCTATATGTTACGTGATCAACTTTTCTGATCGATTTCACAACGTTTGTTTCACAATGCAGTCGCCTGACCAGAACTTAACTTTATCTTTATCTTAGTAAAAAGTCTTTTAAATGACATAGCTTTTATCAAAACACATTATCTGTGTATACAGCCACCTGAGCACACACATCAACCAATAACTTATTTCAGAGGTGATAGGGAGCACTAAATTTTTTTTTCTTCCCTCAACCACGCCCCCCTTGAGTAAAAAAAGAAGAAGATGATTCGGGGGGTAAAATGGCATCTAACAACATTCCCCCCCCCCCCCTTTTGAGTAAGAAAAATTGGGAAATAATAGAATAAAATAGGGAAGATTAGAGAAAATCTGGGAAAAATCAAGAAAATCAGGAAGAAAAAAAAAAATCTGGTTTTTTATCAGGCCTGATATTTGTACAATTTATAGATATATTTTGCTGAAGTGAAAGATAGAACACTTGTCAGTATACAGCACGTTCAAAATAATCAAAATAATTCCACCTCTGTGATACAGACACACGAGAGCAAACCTTACCTTCTTTGCCTGTTGCTGCTAATGAAGCCAGGACTTCTTTGAGTATTTCTGACCTGCCACAAAGCTCCTCAAAAGATTTACCTGCCAGGTTGTTGTTGTTTGCTGCCTCCTGTAACCATGACAATGGAGATAAATTCATAAGTCTTTCATTTCTGTGTGTAAGTAACATTTACATTATCAAGTGTGTTGACATGAGACATCCCTTGGGTTTGATTGATTGAAAGGAAGGACAGATATTTCACTGAGGTACAATTTTGTTTAAAATTTTTTAAAATGCAATTAACAAGATGATGTTTATTTTAAGGTCACATTGACTACGTTCTGACAGAAATTGCAATAGGATTATTATATTGCATTATAGAATTCAAAATGTGTAAATTAATTCTTCTATCTTGAATTCCTGAATTGCCATATGACCAGAATGATAGAAACTACAATGTACTTAAAGATACCATGTCCCTTTTGCAGCCAACATCAGGTTCTGTAGAACTTTGCAGGAATTTTGAATATGTCATGTATGTCCTATCTGTGAAATTTAAACATTAACAATTATGCAAGGAAACCTGGTTACCTTCTAGACTTCACTGTCAGACACTATTGAGTGACTGACTGGCTTCTTTCTTCTTTGGTAATAACATACATAAAATGAGCTGTAACAGGTACATGAGCATTTTTCTACATCAATGACCCAGTACCTGTAATGGCCCAAATTAAACTGATTGAATCTTTGTGCAGCACAAAATATACGACCATTCGGTAAAAGAGTCTGAAAATCAGACTATTACGTAGGTGATTGCAATCACTGAAGTCGATTTGACAACCAACGGTCGTTATTTTCCCATTAAAAGCTATTTTCAAGCCCTTTCGTTTGAGGGAAGTTCTAAATTAGTATTGTCTTCCAAATGCCGTTAGAATTTAACCTTTTCATTTTTTTGGCCTGCAAATGGGACACAGTACCTTTAAAGCCCTTGAACAGGAGAGAAGGCCTTCTCGGCTACAAATCAGTACAGTCATACCATGGGTCTTATCATAATTGGGTCTGAGGGTAAACATTGGCTGTTAATTTCAATGTCAACCATAAACCTCTGAAAGAACTACTCTTTGTGTACAGGCTGACATTGAAGCTAGATAAGGCCAAATAAAAAAAAAAAAAACATGTTTAGCATCCTGCTTTTTTTTTAAATAGAAAGGAGGCCCTTTTTTTTTCCTCTTCTTTTTCAAAATGGCCGCTCAAAATGGCCGCTCGGTACATTTTCCCTGACAGTCAGGCTATTTTTCAAGATGGCCACCGATATTTTTTTAATATTTTCTTAAAATCAGAAATAGATCCATTTTAGCAGTGTTTTCATGTTTTGTTTCTTTCTTTTTTTTTAATTAAAAAATAAAAAATAAATAAAAATAGGAGGCAGCCCCCAAAAAGGAAGCGGGCGGGGACGCTAAACATGTATATATTTTTAAATGGCCTAATAGATAGACGTTGATTACCTGTACAGCTTTCTTGTATGGTACAATCAGTGCTAAGCAGTAGTCATACAGAGGATCAGCATATACACAGATGTTATCAATGAATGGACTCTTCTTCAAGAAGTTCTCTATCGTTGCCAAGGAGATGTATTCTCCTGTTTGAAGCTTCACAAGATCCTTCTTACGATCTGAAAGGGAAATAGTTTAATGAGGAAATAAAAGCAACTGTGATCCAGGGATGCTAGTTATAATTGATCAAAGGGCCTGAAAATCGACTAGAATGAGTTATTTTGTACACAAAACAGCCTGAACTATGGTCTGAAAATAACTTGCCAGGGCCTGAATTCAGGCTATTGCCTGAAAACTGGCATCCCTGCCGTGAACATTCGTGAACAAATAAGAAGTATAATAGGAAGATACCCAAGAAAACAAAGATGGCTAATATTATTTAAACATATTTGTGGCTTACACCCAGTAAATAAGATCGATTGATCGATCTGTATTGAAAAACAAGTCAGAAAAAAATCTTGGAACCAGCGGGACTTGAACCTGCATCTACTGCTTGCCGGGCAGCGACTCTACCACCAGGCCATCACTGGTCCATGGCACAGTCATGATGAACTATAACAAATATGTTTAAATAATTGAAATTTCTCCCAGGAAGCATTACATTTATATGGCTAATATTGTTATAACCAAATAGAATAATGATAACAGTGATATTCTGCATTTGAGCAGCAAGGTCTTGACACAGTATGTATGATCCCTCGACTATCACTACAGACCCTTAATATCTCAAAATGTAAACAGAGTCCAGTGTAATTTCTGTGCGAATGAACTTGTAGCTGAAAAAGAAAAATATTAATGTTCTTTTAGTTTCCATTTACATTTTGGCTTTCTGTTCATTCTCTTGGTTTACTCAGAGTGTACGCCGAAAAGATTTAATATACATTGAAACCTGTCTATAAAGACCACCCAAGGGAGACAAGAAAAGTGGCCTTTGTAGACAGGTGGTCTTTTTATACAGGTGGTCACTAAAGCAGGTTCGACTGTATCTCTATTCACTGCTTTTCATTGTTTTTTGTAATACCAATCATCTGTTGACATAAAAGGTTACCCCCCTCAAGATGGGTTACTTTGGACACATTCTGCATGGCAGTGGGAGCCCCTTAGCAGCACAAATAATAGAAGCCAAGTAGAAGGAAAAGGAAAAAGAAAAAGAGGCAGACAGAGAAAGCAGTGGTTTGATAACATCAAAGAATGGACAGGTCTCACATATTCAGAAGTCAAAAGATTAGCACAGGATAGAAACAAATAGAAAAAGACAACAAGAAGATGTGCAGATGTGGTCGCCAATCGCCAGCAACTGACGGTGGCAGCCAGGTAGGTAGGTATGTAGGTAGGTAGAAGGTAGAGGCTACTCACCAATGATCTTGAGACTGCCATCTGGAAGGAACTCTCCGATATCCCCAGTACAGAAGTATCTGATGCCATTGTCCTGGATGAAGACCTCTTTGGTCAGTTGGTCCATCTGATAGTAACCCATGGCGATGTTCTGACCTCCGACAATGACCTCTCCTCTAGGGTTAGGTTTGTCCTTGTTGGTATACCCACCCTCGGGCCAGTCTACAAGCTTGACCTGGGTTGTTGTAACGGGTGGTCCCACATGACCAATTCTCATGTCTCGCGCTGTACATCAAAGAAAGAAAGAAATACACACAGAAAGTGAGCAACTTTAGCTCTTTGAAAAAATCTAAAAGAGGTATTGAAAACTTGTGAACAAACTAACAAAAATGAGCTATACTTTGTGCAAAATGACATGAAATGAATTAATAACATTAAGGACCCAATCTTCCCTCCATCAATTACGAAATGACAGTTGCCTATCCCTCATGTACAAAGGTGCGACTGTAGATTTGAATTAATCACAACATTTGTAAGACAAGGATCTCTGAGGTAAAGGAACTATTTTTTCAAACTCACATTCTGAGACACAGGCTACCCCACACGTCTCTGTCAGACCATATCCCTGTATAAGAGAAGCTCACATTCTGAGACACAGGCTACCCCACACGTCTCTGTCAGACCATACCCCTGTATAAGAGAAACTCACATTCTGAGACACAGGCTACCCCACACGTCTCTGTCAGACCATACCCCTGTATAAGAGAAACTCACATTCTGAGACACAGGCTACCCCACACGTCTCTAACAGACCATAGCCCTGTATAAGAGAAACTCACATTCTGAGACACAGGCTACCTCACAAGTCTCTAACAGACCATACCCCTGTATAAGAGAAACTCACATTCTGAGACACAGGCTACCCCACACGTCTCTGTTAGACCATATCCCTGTATAAGAGAGCTGTTGAAGCAAGATTGAATGAAGCGCTGTAGGTCACTGGCTAATGGGGCGCCTCCACAGATCATCAGACGCACCTGACCACCAAGCTGACGGGTCAGTTTGGAGAAGATTAATCTGCAAAGTAGTTGAACAAAGTAAGATTTATGGAAGTTTCAATTTACAGGTCATGTTTAAAGTAATTTCATTAAGAGAATTGTCAGAAATTTTATCTAAATTATTCATCATGAAAGAGTGTCCAAGTGCTATTAAGTTGTACTGAGCTATGAATCGAAACTGACAGCAAAGTTAACAAAATCTCTCAAAGTAGATTGTTTAGATTGTTGGAAGTCTGTTATCCCTTCCAGCTGAGGTTTTACAGAGGTTTGAAGTGATACGGTTGCCTTCCATGGGGGTACAGTAAGTAATAATCATCTTTTCAATCTGAGCTACTTTGATCTTCTATACAAAAACAGCAAACAACTGGACAGTTTAACTTGTTTCTTGGACGCTTTACACATACACTGTACATAACATATCTAGTAGATCTGCAGTCATAGTAGACCACGGGGGGAGTAACCCACGTAGTTGCCGCTGCGGCTATAACAGCTCTAGGGCCTTGTTTCTTTAAATTTGTGATTAATAACAAACTCTAACATTTCATGACAGATTTGCTCTCAGCCAATCAAATGCTACAATTCAGTAGCTTATAACAGTCATTGCAACTTGTTTTTGATAACAATTTTTCTGAAACAGGGCCGAGATGGGAGTCCAATGCCAGATTAGCAATCTTTTGCACACCAGCTAGAAATGTACACATAGGATGTCAACATTGTAATGACATAGCTAAACCTTTGTATACCTACCTGTTGAGGATAGGTGTGTTGAATCCTTGGTCAAGGTGTTTGCACTTGTAGTCTACAGCAAAGTTGAAGATAGCTCTCTGAAGGGCGCTACCTCCCTTTACTTTCTCTGTTATTCCCTTGTAAATACGCTCCAAGATCATCTGAATCAGATAATAAGAAATACCAAAGAATGTATTCATCATTTGTACGTCACTTTACACAGGAGCATGGTTTAAAATGCAGTGTAAGAATGCACAACATCAGTGTTTACTTATCTTAAAAAGGGCATGGATCTAAAATTAGATAACTCAATTTCCTAATAGACCAATCGAGCAAGAAAAAAAATACCAGCAGCTTAGATAATGCCTGTTTTTGTTTATTTTGAATTCAAAAAGAAAAAAACCTTATCAAAATTGGTTTTGGGGGTGCTAAAACCAATTTTCAAGTTAGAGAGTTTCAAGCAAGAGATTTGTTTGAGGAAGAATTTTTCTGTAATTTCCATTTTTTTTTAGTTTGGCTGCATGATCTGCAAATGAATTTTTTAAAAATTCAATAAAATCTTCTTAAATTGGGCTATGAAAACTGCTTAGACCAAGGAAAATTGAAATCCAGTTTCCATCAAAGAAGATGGAACCCTAAAAAAAATCAAGACAAGAAACTAGCGGCCTTTTCACACAGTGGTAAAATTCATCGTATTTAAAGCAGAGTTTAAAGCTCTTTAACTAAAAAGCTTTAAAGTAAATTTTCCCTGTGTGAACATCAAAAATATACAATGTTCGGATCTAAAACCTGCGATCTAAATACCGGTCAGAGCGAACGGTTATACATCCTTAACTGGGCGGAGCTAAGACCGGGTGCCAATTAGCCTGCGCCAATCTGTTTGATAGTAAACACCCGCCGCTTATAGCATTGAATCTGTGTACGAATGATATCGTACGTAAAGCTGATTAGCTTAAAGCTCTTTGAACTAATCAGCTTTACATAATTTTAGCCCTGTGTAAGGGCAGGTTAGATTCAATTTTAATTGTCCATTTTATAAAGAGGATTACTTACAGGAACAAAGATGATAAGGTTTGGTTTGAGTATTCTGACATCACCAGGGCAACCCTTCTTGATCTTAGTTCCTGTATCTGTTAGAGTCTGAGGTGATGAGTAACCTAGACGACATCCTAGTGTGATGAGAGATAGTTCTACCACACACTCCAAGATGTGGGCTAAGGGCAAGTACACAGCTGCAGTTTCACCAACCCTGCAACAAGTAAAATTAATATTGTTTGTAAGGATGTATAAATGTTGTATTTGAAATATTAAGAACAAGTGTAGTTTTATTTTTACTTTCTCTCTCTCTCTCTCTTTGAATGAATGGTGGTGGTTATTTTACCTGACTGCTAAGAAAGCAAAATTGCTTGTAAGTAAGCAACCAGACGGCCGGCGGCTTTAGGTCCTCTCTGAGGGACCTGGTAATGAGGATTAATGCCTTACCAAAGGGCACTAGCGCATCGCCTTGGTTTCGAACCCGGGTCACCAGATTACGAGACCACTGCTCTACCGACTGAGCTATCGCACCTCCTTTTTAAGATCTGTTGCCACGAAAGTAGGCATTACTCTTACCTCACCTTTGTGTACGTACAGTATGCACTATTAATGATTACAGGTCCTCTGGGTGAACAGTATTAATACTGACGAGGCAAATCTGGGTAAACAAGACATATTCTCATTTTTATTATTACTATATTATCTGAGGCGCGATAGCTCAGTCAGTGGAACAGTCAGTGGAACAGTGGTCTCGTTATCCGGCGACCCTGGTTCGAAACCAAGTCGATGCGCTAGTGACCTTTGGTAAGACATTAATCCTCATTACCAGGTCCCTTTGGAGAGGACCTAAAGCCGTCGGCCGTCTGGTCGTTTACTAACAAGTATTTATGCTTTCTTAGCAGTCAGGTAAAATAAACACCACCACCACAAATTATCTATTCTAGAAATTTGCATTCCCTGTATTTTAGAACACAAGTATTCTATCACTTTTATTTTTTCAGAAAAAAGAGAAGAAAAAAAAAAAGTGGAGTGGAATAACGGCTGTAAGAGTCACAATAACCTGGTTCATTCTTCAGTATTTCAGATAGAAGTCATTAATGGAGAACATCCCGATTGTTGTTTCCATGGTGATATACTTACTCTACATCATTGATGCGATCCACTGCTCCACACACAGCAGCTAAGACGTTTCTATGGGAGATCATGACTCCCTTAGGATTCCCAGTTGATCCGCTGGTATACATGATGATGGCAAGGTCTTCGGCGGTCGGTCTCAAACGCTCCACATCTATGGATAAAACAAATCAAGTGTCAAAGTTACTTCCATGTTTTGAGATTTTCTGGAGATACAATGACACCAGGTTGAGTGACACTTTATGTTATGCAGATTTGGGTTTCATTACTTGTTCTTGACCACTATGAGTGCTATGAACTTTCCTGACTTAAATCGCTCTCCATCTTAGCAATTTTTGCTGAATATAAAGAAAAATAAAATAAATGAAATATCTTTAGGAATATAGTGCACATTAGAACATTGAATGCCAAACATTGTACGTTTCAATATCAGAGTAATTTCAACAGTCACCTTAATGAATTCATGAAAAGCCTCAAAGGCAAAAAACTCAATATTGAGACCATTCTCAAACAGACATGCAAAATTTGTTCTAATAAGGAAAGACTTAATGACTGAATCTGCTAATACAATGTGTATAAACTATAAATAGATATTATAAAAAGCAGGTGTGTAGTTATCACTGTAATGCTCATATGACAAAGATAATCACCAATTTAACCTAATTTAGTGAGATAAGCATCTGTGAGTAACAATATTCTTTATATCTTTATTATAAACATATAAAGTGCTTGGTATTAATCATTAACCTATAATAATAGTTAATGGCAGATTATTTACAATTAGCAAACATTTATCATCATGTATGAATAGTAAATAGCCATAATAGACAGGATGTTAACACTTGAGAGTATGCGCAGCTGACTAGAACTACATTAGATTCTCCAATGTACACATATATACATGTACAAGTACAATAGAACAGAGACCATTAGGAAAACGAGACAAAGATAGAGATAGAGAGAGAGAGAGAGAGAGAGAAAGGGAGAGAGAGAGGGAGAGAGAGAAAGGGAGAGAGGGAGAGAGAGAGAGAGAGAGAGAGAGAGAGAAACAGACTGAAGAAGGGAAAACTAGATAGGAGACAAAGAGATTGAGAATGAGGTACAGAGAAAGAAATCAAAGTCACAGGAATTATAATGAGGATGATGATGGTGGTGACCATCCCCATCATTCTTCTCCTCCTCCTCCTCCCCCTCACCACCACCACCACCATCATTGAACTCACTCTTAGAAGCAGCTCCTCTATTGATGACTGCCTGGAATGATGTGACTTTGATACCGTTACTAAGCTTCTTCTCATCTAGCTTGGCGACGGGATCCTCCATACAAATTATATGAGTCACAGTTGGAATATCCTTCTGAATTGACTGCAAAATATAAAATAAATGATATCAAGAACATAACTATTGGACACTAAAGGTACATGAAGATAAAAGCTAAATATCTACTCGTAGCAACACGCTAGATTCAGTCAAGGTTTAACCCCGATGAAGTGCATCAGGTTACAACCATCAAGTGTCCACCTCTTCACTTCACAAAAATTACAATTCTGTAACTAAATGAATGAACAAAAATCATCTCATAAAGAAATAAATCACTTCACGACTTAATTACAGAAATTTAATAATAACAAAGTCTAAAATATACTGGTCTTTGTAAATTTGTTTATCATTAGCAAGTATTTTTCAGGTTTAGACCCTTAGCTTGCATACATACATACCTTTAGTTTTGTAAGGAGTGTTGTTGTTGTAATGACATATTTGATTCCTGTCTGATTGATTCCATAAGCGATAGCTGCTTCTCCTAACGTTGCATACAGTGTCACCGCTGATACAGTCAAAACAGGCACAGAGAGAGAGAGAGAGAGAGAAGTAACATTAGAAAAGACTTAATAAGAGCAGGAGAAGGTTTGAAGGTTTGTGGTGGGAGAGGAAGGGGATGGGGAGGGGGATGGGGAGGGGGGGGGGGGGGGGGGGGGGGGGGTGGGGAGGGGGTGGTGTGTGATGGCCCCCCTCAAGATCGTGTCTTCAGAGAGATGAATTACAGGAACATTTTGTTCACACCTCAAATGTTTCTGAGAATAAGACCCCATCATTAATCTCATTAAAATTAACAGTTACCCGGTAAATTTGACAATTACTAACAATTCTGCAAATTATATTCATAAAAATACATTTTAGAAATAATGGAGAGAAAAAAGAATGCCTTGAGGGAAGCTTATTGTGCAAATTGTCTTTAATTAACTTCAAATATTGTGTAAGTAGTACACTAAATCAGTTTTATAAAGCTGATTACACATATTTTTATGATTTACAAAAGGAAAGCTATACATTGAGTGATCATGGTGTACCAAAAGGCTACTGAACTATAATTATCATGAATGAATTTTATCTCTCTGAAATGTACATTAGGCAGCATATTTTAGAAAGATAAGGCAGCCAAAATTCCCTACAAATACTAGAGTTCACAGATTATCACAAATTATAAACAAGTATGCAAATAAAAGATATGATATCATAAGTAATTGGCATTTAGATAGCTAATCAAATACGGGAAATTTCAAAGTGCAAGGGCCATACAAGTACAATGTACATGTACTTCATTAGGATTTAGAAGATATTATATCATTAATGAACTACTTTTTGTAGTAACAACGATGAAACTATTATACATGTTTTTTGCTTTTGTAACTATTCTAATGAAGTATGGTCGAAGTTAGAGTTCTGGATATTTCGTAATACGGGGGAAAGGATCAAATTTACAAATCAAAATAAATTGTTTGGATTTTGCGGTAGCAATAATAATGCACTCAACTGTGTTCTGATGGTTGTAAGACAAGAAATATTTTCAGCTAAATTACGAAATCAACTACCATCATTTGATATAATTTTATCAGCTGTAAAACGTTATTATGAAATGGAAAAATATATATACCAAACAAATCTCAGAGAGAATAAACTAAAAAGAAATGGTTTCACTTTAGAAAATATTTTGGGAGTGTTGGAAATGTGCTAACATAAACATGATCATGTATTTATGTTTGGTATTTTTTAAAAATTATATATTTAAAGTACTAATTTTGTCATAAATGTTTGTTTTTATCTTTTTTGGCCGTGATGATTATTATCTGTGTCAAGCCATTATGTATGGAAATTATTTCTTTAATTATTTGTATATGATATATGGATGTTCTGTATATGATGAAATTTGTTTTGAAAAATAAAGAACCCTGTGGAAGGGGAAAAAAAAAAAAAAAATAATAATTAATGAACACTTATATAGTACAAATTATTCAGGTTCTTGAACCTTAAACTTTTAGGTATAAGGGACTTCTACATTTTGTGGTCCAGATATAGCCATACAATAGTTGGATCATAATGATTTTTGCATTGATTGTGAGTTTCTTAACAAAACAATAAAAGGAAGCTTGTTAATCTGAGTTTCCTGCTTTGCAATTCACTGAAAAAACTCATCTACTATAACTGCCCGTGAAAATGCTATTCATGCATGCATTAATTCTTTTTTAAATTTAAAAAGAAAGGATTTTTGGAGGTAATTCATTGAACCACTTTCTTTTCTTCTTTTACCTGGAAAATTATATCTGAAGCAGGCTTGGAGTCCAATCTGAAATTCTGCTCTTGTTTCGGCAAATATAAGTATATTCTGTTTAGGCTGGAGACCAAGACTAACAAGACCTTTCCCAAAGTTGTCAACATCTTGCAAAAACTCTGTGTATGTTCTCCACTTGTAATCTCCCATGATCAGCTGTAAGGTGTAAGAAATATCAAAAGAAGAATTAATTTCTTCATCAAATATGTAAATATATAACAATAATAATAATAACAATAAAAATGGTGCTTATAAAGCGCTTACCACCGAAGTCTTGCAGCGCTATAACAGCCATTTTACTTAAAGTTTTCTGTGGAAAGGTTTCAGTTTTAGTTTCAGTTTATTTCATATTTCACATGCATTAACATAAATCATAAACTATTAACATTAAGAATGAAAATAATCCATCCAATAATATCAGGCCATGAAAGTAATAATACAGTCTACATAACATACAGAGATATAACTTAATTACAATTGCAAGATATCTAAACTGAAATTAGAAAATATATATGAAGTGAAATATGGGGGGATCTTGGAAAAAGCTAAGCTTGTAAATTAAAAATTGAACACGATATATTTAGAAAAGAAAGGAAAGATTATAACCTCCATGTACATGTATAATGTAGTCAGAGGTACACTATCACTGAAGACAAAATGACAATCCTATTTCAGGGACTTATTTACAAGAGCATGTTACGAGCCCCCCCCCCCCCCCCCCCCCCCAAAAAAAAAAAAAAAAAAAAAATCACCAACATCTTCACAGATCTTTTCTTTCTTTTTATTCTATTTCATCAAAATCTTGAAATGCATACATGTGTATTAAAGATAGAAGAAGGTATTGCATACATGTACACACCATAGATGTTGAATTTTCAGATTACCGCTACTTAGTTTTATTTGATGTAAGGTTTGTTTAATCAATCTGATAAGATCCTTGTTTGTATATTCATTCTAGATCACCTCATGGCTTGAATAAACAACAAATAACTTAAGAAGCTGGTCAATATCACAAAACAAACATTTCTAGTACGACTTGATACAAAGACCCCATGGACTTCAGCTGAATATTAGCACAAGGATACAATTAATACATCTGTAGCTCACTGTTCATCTACATAGTCAACAAAAGTTTCAGTGCTCAGTCATTGTAGTTGACTTTGAAACATATGATTTGTTTTCTCTTTTTGGATATGTCCTGGAGAGAAGGATAGCTAGTGGCCCATAAGTTATTAATTAAAGGGAAATAAAAGGGAAATTTACCAACTCTACATCATTATCACAGCATCCACATTAAGTTAAGAGAAAAAAAGAGAAGGCAAGCCCTTTGTAAAGACAGAAGATGAAGGCTAATATGGGAAGGTTTTGTATCTAGAACCCTTTTGTAAGCTGCCCCATGTTTATTCAAGATCAACTTTGAATGTCTCATAGGAATACTAGATTCGTGCCTTCATAATGGAAAAGAAATTCCTGGCTTTCATATAAACAGAGGTCTAGACCGTCTAGTAAATCTCTGTTAATTGATCTCTAAATATGTCCTATACCACGTTCATACATGTACATGTAGCAAAGCCTACATACACACTGTACATGTAACAGCAGGGACCCGTTTCACAATTCTTGACTGAAAAATTTAAAAAAAATCAAAATGAAAGTCGCTTGGGTTTTTTAACGTACTATGGTGTCTGGTAAAAAGCAAAAAGCATAAAATAAAAATAAATTTGGTCTTAAAAATAAGGGTGCGTTTTTATACACAGAGATTTACGGTATTTGGAAGGGGTTCGGATTGAACTTTTTAGAGTTTGTATGCATGAGCCCTAGTAAAGCTAAAAACTTCAAAATTGGGGGTTGGGCTTGCATGGGCACCTGTTAAGTGTTGGGTCATGCAGAAAGGTCTCATGATCATGTAAATGAATTTTCCTCATGTTTCATCTACAATCAGAGTAGATAAACAATTGAAAGGAGATCTACAGTATACATCATGTACTGTACAAACCATGAAAGCACATACCGGTATGTGCTCTTTCTTTATTTGTCATTGTTATCTTTGAAAAACATATTTACATAACATCTTCTCTCTATGTCATGATCAACAGACAAAACAAACTCACTTTTTTTTAAGTTGATATAAACCATGCGGTACGTACATGTCTGTGAAGTTCAATTTCAGTTTGGACTTTGTTATTTGATAACAGAGCAAGCTATACTGGCCAATAGTACCATACCATGTAAAGGTATCATGTACACTACTGCCTAAAGGTTTTGGCAGCGGGCTGCGGGCGCGGGCAAGCTACTCGCGGGTCGCGTATTTTTTTTGAGTGTCAATTGCCAAAAATGTGAGCAAGTTCGGGCAGATTTCGGGCAGATTTCGGGCAGATTTCGGGCAGATTTCGGGCAGGTTTCGGGCAGCTGAATTGAACGCACGCGCGGAATTTGGGGGAGCGCCCGAACTTCGGGAAGTTCCCGAACTTCGAGCTGCTTTGTTTACTTTGTTGCTATGCGCCGTTGCTTTGCGCGCAAGGTCTGTGAAAAAATGCGCATCTGCGTGGAATGCTAGTGCTACGCGGCTTTGTGATGTCATAATGGTTATCTCCAAACGTCACAATAGCCACTCTAACTCGATGTTTTTGTCAAGAAAACAACCATTAAACAGATTTAATTAACATGCGGTGAACGTCTGCCGAGTCGGCGTTCTCGAACTCATGTCATTTTGTCCAAGTTAAAATAAACACGATGGAAGGACATAGCTAAAAATTAAATCAATTTACAATTTAAGTATTTAGTGTTGAAGTATTTATTTTGGTACAGTTGTCGCCTAACTTTTTTGTCAACTGCGGACTACCGCAGATTTTTTTCTTCTCCAGGCGGCTAATTACAAAATAGACGAAATTAACCGTCTGGTACGAGGATAAATGCTTTGATAAAACCAGGGAGGTGACCCACACGCATCCGGTAACCCTTGCTTCACACTCAAAGAGGGATTGACTGGCGATTTTTACCGGAATCTGGCGAACAGTTTACCTTTGCTTTTGTTCATCTGGAATCAACCGAAAATATCAAAACATCCAAATAATTATAAAGACTTACTTCAGGGTTCGTACACTTACACATTTTAAAAATTCCATGACTTTTCATGACTTTCCAGAGCAGGATAATGTAAATTTCCATGACCATTTTCAATGATGAACATGTCTTAATTTAAAGCGTACAACTATACATCATCGCAATACTAGAAAGCAAATCACAAAACTATAAGGCGCACCCCCATTTCGAAGATCCCCCCCCCCCCCCAAAAAAAAAAAAAAAAAAAATAAATAAATAAAAAAAAAAATCTGGAAAAAAAAATTCTGTCATCTTTAGTTGAAAAAATAACATTGTTAGTTGTTACTAGACCTAGGTCTAACTTAGTTCACAAGCACTTCAACTGTGCCTCGTATAATGAAAAGTGAAAGTATTTTTCGAACACTGAAATAAGACGCAATCTGATCTGGTTAACAAAAAGCCACCAAAAAAAGCCAACATTGGTCTTTTTGTTAACATCAGATCGGCTCTTATTTCAGTGACAGTGTTAAAAAATACTTTCATTTTATTACGAGGCACGGTTGAAGTGCTTGTGAACTGAGTTAGACCCAGTAACAATGTTGTTTTTAAAACTAAAGATGACAGAATTTTCCTCCGAGTCCAAACAGAAATGTGGACAGGCTAGTTTTCGTGTGGTGATTCGTTATCCCTTGTGTGAGCTGCATCATACAGGTGAGTGAGCTGAAGACACGGTAGAGCTTCGGCCGGCAAAGTGCCTTGTGACAGGGCATAATTTATCGAGACTGAAAAAAAACTGAAAAAACCCTCTCTTCCTTTCAAATTAGGAACGTAGTTTAACTTCAAATAGTAGATCCTATTCTTTATTTGCATTATGTAATTCATGTTGAGACACAGAGATTTTTGAAAACCACTAAAAAGTAGCATTTGAGGACTCAAATATCCTGTTCCTGACTATTTAAGGCGCACTCCCGACTTTCGATATTTTGCTGACGGAAAAAAGCTGTGCCTTAATTGCGGACGTTAGGGAAAGCAGCAACCACGAGTCTAGGCTAGTTAACTACTGGCTGTATGCTCGTGCTCGCATAATGGACGCCAAATGTGGAATCAAATGCGATTCAGGGTTGCGATATTCGAGTAAAGAGCAACACAATTTTTAAAGGGGTTCTTAAGAAAACACGAGTGGCTCATGATGCATAGTTATTTACATTTAAATTATTGTTTTATGAATATTCTGTGGCCGCTCGCGTGGCCCCTGTCAAATTCCACCAGCCTTCAGCATGGACCTACTACGAACCATCATGATGACAGAGAAAGTGCATGTTACGCAATGTTTACGCCTTTTCTGTTCTTTCTACAAACCGCAGCGGCATGCATGTCTGAAGTGAGAGGGCAACTTCACGAAACAAAGCTTTAGTAAACAAATCAAATTTCTAAAGGGAACCGCTTTGTGTGGAAAAGGAAAGTTATTGCCCAGTCACTGAAGAGATGTTGAGTTGTTCTGATGATACCGATTTATCGATGGTGACCGTAGTGATGATGATGGTGATGATATTGATGGACGATGATGAAAATGCTGGCTGTATGTATTGATGGCGATTATTAAAATGATGATGTAGAGAGATTCCAGCCCCCCTCCCCCCCCCCCCCCCCACTTCACAAAAATACACACACAAGATAGCATGGCGATAAACAATGAAAATACGTCATTGATGGAAATAAAAATTCGAAAAACGAGTAATACATAAGGAAATAACAAAGAAATACTTGAGGATTGAGGAAAAAATAGAAAATGATTGAAAAAATCTAAGAAATATATAAAGTGAACACATTTACGAAGGAAACCAGAAGAATGATTAATAATTGCTTCATAAAGATCTACATACGTATGGAAAGAAAAAATGATAATCGAAAATACATGATTGATAGAAAGAAAAACATGGAATTAAACAAGGGGGGTGATTGTGGAATGGGGTAATTTCCAGGGAAATGTAAATGTCCACGGGGGGGGGGGGGGGGGAGTAATTGGCCGGGGTGATTGCCCAAGGGTAATTCTCCTAGAACTAGAACCATAATGAACAAGAGAAGGGAATATACAAGCATAGAGAGAGAGAGGGAGAGAGGGTGGAACAAAGAATTGCAAAAACAGAAAAGATGAGAAAGATTCGAACAAATGCATACGCTAGTTTTCAGGGCAGAACTGCTCTCTCTCTCTCTCTCTCTCTCTCGGAGGTTCAATCATCACTACTAAGATCACGTGATCTTACCGCGCAAACATGATCTGTTTATAAATAACTTCTGAGATAAACGCATGTTGCCAGACACCTTGTCTCCAAAGTACCCTTTGTTTAGAAACACTTTTAACATAATACGAAATATACGCTACGCTAGCTCTCCTCATTCAAACATTCAATTCATTGGTGAACAAATTAAATTTGGAATTGATTAATAAGTTCTCTGCTTGTTTCGTGTGTCTATGTTTGTTCTTATTTTTAGTTAGATTGTCTTCTTCTTTTTCTTCTCCTTCCTTTTCTTCTTCCCCTTCTTCTTATACCTCTCCCCCTTCTTCATATTCCTCTCCTTCCTTTTTTTCTTCCCCCACCCCTCTGCTTCTTCATATCCACTTCTTCTTTTTCTTCCACCCCCCGGTCCCACCCCTCTGCTTCTTCACCTACTCTTCTCCCCCCCTGCTTGTTTATCTTCCCTTCTTCTTTTTCCTCTCCCTCCTTTGTTTTCTTCCCCAATCCCCTCTGCTTCTTCATGTACTCTTAGTTTTTTTTCTTTACCCTCACCCCTTTGCTTCTTCATCTATTCTTCTCCCCCCCCCCCCTCTGCTTCTTTATATCCCCTTCCTTTTTTTTCTTCCCCAATCTGCTCTGCTTCTTCATTTTCTTCTCCCCGCCCCCTCTGCTTTTCATCTACTCTTCATCTTTTTCTTCTCCTTCGTTTTCTCCCCTTGCTTCTTCATCTCCCCTTCTTCTTTTTCTTCTCCTTCCTTTTCTTCTCCCCCTTTTTCTTTTTCTTCTCCTTCCTTTTCTTCTCCCCCTTCTTCTTTTTCCTCTCCTTCCTTTGTTTTCTTCCCCAATCCCCTCTGCTTCTTCATCTACAGGTGTACTCTTCCATCTTTTTCTTCACCCCCACTCCTTTGCTTCTTTATCAACTCTTCTCCCCCCCCCCCTTCTGCTTCTTTATATCCCCTGTTTTTTCCTCTCCTTGGGCCTTTTTTCCTTCCCCAATCTCCTCTGCTTCTTCATCTACTCTTCTTCATTTTCTTCTCCCCCGCCCCCTCTGCTTTTCATCTACTCTTCTTCTTTTCTTCTCCTTCCTTTTATTCCCCCTCCCCTCCTTCTACATATTTCCTTTCTTCTTTTTCCTCGCCTTCCTTTTTTTTTTTTAAGGTCACGAACGTGATGCAAGCAGCGCGAGCATAGGTCCTAAGTTGACCTAGATATCTACGTAAGCTTCGCGTACCACGTGCGTCCAAAATCTAGATCCAGCATGCATAGTGTTATTAGCATAGGCTATGCCTACAGGCTACACAATGTAGCACTATTAGTATTAATTATGACTTAGCTGTTGCAAAGAAAGTATCTCTTAATCCTTGGAATTAAAATATGGAAACAGGGACTGATGTGTCATTGGCATAATGTAAGGTGAGACCAAATTGTTCATATCATTAGTCTGATGAATGCTCAATTGAACCATTTTATTAAGTTTAGGCTAGAGCCTAGGCTAGGCATGACGATGTGGTACGGTAGATCTATGCTAGCGTTTGCCGTCCCCGTTGCCGTCCGGCTAGCGACTGCTAACTTCATGGACCCTGGGCCTAGCTCCTCGAAGATGTTTGGCAGAAAAATATCTAAAGCCTACGGTGGTCATCCACTCTTAGATCTAAATCAGGGGGTCTAGACTAGACTTTAGGCTGCCTTACTCATATTGCTGTGAGAGTTGGTGAACACGAAAACAAATTAGTGAGCGTCTTTCCTAACAAACACTCGACTCTCCCATACACTCTACGTGTATTTGTGTATAATTTTCGTGCGGTGCGATTCATATTTTAACACGCAAATTGTATAGGCAAATTGATCTGCAGTTGAATCGCTCTTCTCGACCAATTTGACTTTTCAACGTGACGTCATCGGGTCTTGTCGCGTGCGAGTCTTAAAAACGCACGACTTCAGCACGCGCATCATTTCAAGGCGAATGTAGTACCGGGCAGATTTCGGGCAGATTTCGGGCTGATTTCGGGCTGATTTCGGGCAGATTTCGGGCGCGACTCGAACATCGGGCGCGACCCGAACATCGTTTCTTCAGCTACGCGCTTCGGGCATCGGGTCAGCCCGCTGCCAAAACCTTTAGGCAGTAGTGTATATGAAATTATAGGAACTGAACAGGTAAAATTGGGGGTATCTTGGAAATCAACCAGTGCTTCAAACTTGTGTCATAAGTAGCCTGACCCCAACAGAGAATGAGTACTCCCTGCCCCCCCCCCCCCATCCTTCTGCTACCCCATCTATCAATGTGGGATGCAGACTACCTCAATCTAATTCAGAAAATATCTTAGAGTGCATCTATCCAGACTGTTAGGTTTACCATAGTAGCTACAGCTCAAAACTAACTAAAGAAAAAAATATATATCGTTCTGGATAGATTTACTACAGTATAGTAGCTACAGCTCAAAACTAACTAAAGAAAAAAAAATGGTTCTGGACGCCACCCCTTTCCCACCCCCCCCCCCCCCCCCCCCCCCCCCGAAAAAAAAGAGGTTAAAATGGAAAGAGTGGTCTGATGTACGTGGACGGTAAATAATTTGTATTAGACCCCCGTAGAAAAAGGGCAAATAGCCCTGTGGTATCCATTTCAAAATAATTCAAAATAAAACTTAAAAAGTCAAACTAGATGCTAACCTTCTTAAAGACTTTGCCATTAGATTGCACTTCATCTTCCTCGGATAAGATCTCCCTGGTTCCTAGGGCTTCTAGAGATCCATATTCCTGACAGCTCCTCTCAAAGTCTTCATCCAGAGTCTTGCAATCCTGTCGTTTTCTGAGCTTGAGCTGCTGGCTACCTACCATCCTCCAAGGGTTCTGGGTGTCACCCATTATAGGTTCAGCCTTGAGACGGTTCTGGTACGTCCAGGAGCTGTATGTCGCTAGCTGCCAAGGGATGTAGGTAGCCATGTCATAGAACCATGAGAAGAAATGGATGGCATGTACCACCATAGAGACATGGAATGGCTCCGCTTCTTTATTATCAGGCATCTTGAAGTTGTGATGCTCGCCTGCCTGCCTGGGTTGAGAATCTTGGTTCGCCCGTTGAGGGTTGCTTCCTTAGCGTTGTCTTTCACTTGTGCTCAGCTTCTCATTTGTCTGTTTAAAAAAAAAAAATATTAAAAAGCATGTTAAGTATATAAATGTCTCTTGTAATTTTGTTTCAAATAACTCTTTACATAGGCAATTTCTTTCCATACATTGTACCTGAGTATTACAATTTGCTACAATTACAGAATATTTAATTCATTATTCTGGATACATGTTCTGATCCTTCTCTGCACACAAACTTACCACCAAGCAAGACATTTACAGCCAGTTTCCCGATTGAACAATTGAACAATTATCTCAGTCTCCAATATGAAGCTAGCTACATGTAAGATACAGACTGTTGTCACACATCATTACACGGCAGACTAATGCCTTCTTCATGACCTAAAGTCTGACTAGAAATTTCGCATCATCCGATTACTACTGAAGGTGATCTGTCAATACATGACTTTGAGGACTATTAAATTGTTGAGTTGCAAAACAGGGGGAGGAAGAAAAGAACCTGCTTAGATAGATAAGTTTGTTGGGCAAAGTTCACGTTTTATATGACACTGTTTTTGTGACAATAGGCCTGTCTTCACTATCTCGAGATTGCCAAATATCCAGCTATTTGAACTATCCCGATCGCAAACTCCAGCTAATTTGCATCTTCATTAGACCAAAGTAGCAATTAGCGGGATATTTGGTCAGGATTGTCATCCCAAGATATCTTGGGATAGTTTGCAAAATATCCAGCTATTTGTCTGGTGCGTCATCACCAGACCGAAGACTCGCACTATGCGCCAACCCTGAGCAAAATATCTCGAGTTAATTTCTCAAGGTCGAGTTTCAAGTTTCGAGGTCGAATCTAGAGCTGATGAAGACGCGATTTGTAACTTAGGGATTATTTCCCAAATCAGAAATAGCAGGCTATTTGACGATCTCGAGATGATGAAGACGCGCCTAGTGGTGATCTTGTGGGCTAAGATCTGGTAGGTCAAAGACTGAAGCAAATAAGAGGTCCCTTGGACTGGAGTGGAGTATTTGTATTAGAGTATTGTCACTCCCACCTGTTACAAGGTTATTGCAAGATGAAGAGGGTCAGATTTAAATGCTTTAAATGCATGCAGGATCTGGATGATTTTTGCTCCTCAATATTCTAAAATTGCCTCTAAATGCCCGTGCATAGCTCCTTATTTGTTATTTTTTGTTTTCTTTCTTATCTAACAGATACATTGAGATACAATGTACATTTCCATGTTAACAGGAGAAGAGGAATATCAAACATAAAACACTGTACAACAAATGATCAGTGGTACATGTACAAATATACATACATGTACGGCCATCTAATACAATCATTCATGTTCTAACTAGGCTCTGCCACGGAAATTGCATTCTACCGTGTATGAGTACAACATGCCAGACAACGTAGCTAGCCTACATGTACATGTACATGTTGCCCTCAGCATACCCATGAATTGTACCTTGCATCATAATGCATTAACAACGAGAGTCCGTGATGGATAATTGAGACAATAGAAGTGACAAGCACCAACATTTATCAAGCTCTTCCTCTTTCCATCACCATATCTTTTTATCTATCACATGCTTGATACATTCACACACAAATTTTTGGTACTTGTTCACACAACTAATTTCAATGAGGTTCATTTCATTTTCACTATTAAAAGCATAGTAACACAAAGTTCTCTCCTGACCTTCATTGTCTGCAGGGAAAAAATTAATATTTATTTTTCGGGGGCTACTTTTCAAACTTGCCTGCATGAAAATAACATTCTAAAATTTCTTTTGCATCGAACTCTGTGCAAATTGAAGGGGTTCTTTTCTGATTTTCGGGGGCTCTTTTGGGCATTTCGGGGGCTATTTCGCCCTGAGCCCCCGTGTATTTTTCAATTATTGTGTGACACAGAGCAGTAGAGCACATAACAAGTTTATTCACAGAAATATTCGCTATTAATAATAACAATTATAATATTGAGTCTTTGTATATTAAACACTCATATCTGTCAGACTTGACACTCTTGGCGCTCCTGATTATTACCCTGGCTTTGGCACGGCGCTCTAGCATTTCAAGGAATTAATTCCTGCCAGGTACCCATTTACATCACCTGGGTTGAGTGTGGCAAATGTACAATGTAGATCAATGTCTTGCCAAAGTACATTAGTGCTGCAGTGGGACTCGAACCGTTGACCTTATGATCAACAGTCCAGTGACGTATCCACTCAACCACAACACTACTAATAGTAATTTAATGAATTAATACAAATTTCTGTAATTGATGTTTTTTTTCATTCACACCTGATATATTACAATGAGATCCGCAAGCCTACTGTATAATGAGATTCTTATTACACCAGTTCAAAGATTGATTTTTACTGTGTGCACTAACTACCCTATTATTCTGAAGAAAGAGGAAATGAGCAGGATGAAAACATGTCATTCTTATCCTTCACTTCCTGCCTTTCAAAACAAGATGACGCACTTAAAATTTGGAGGAAACAAATACATTTTCAAAGTTTGTTGACTTGTATAAAACAATCTGATGATGATCCAACCACTTTGTCATTTCCTTTAGTGTATTTTCCATGTTATTGTTTTATCTATGTTTGCAAGAAATTATTGTATTCTTTGCCTTTATATGTTTTTATGAAAGTGGTGAATAAATTCAATTCAATTCAATCTATCGAGTCTTTTAAAACCATGTTTTCAATTTAGGAAGCTGCATGCATTAATACTGTGGTAGAGAGTACCCACCATCTCATATGTACTTCACAATGCATTTAGGGGCTCCAGACAGACATACATGTACAGCTGATCATGCCCTGATCATCTAACACTTTGTACACGTAAGGCAATGTGTTATTGACGCAGGCGCTTGCAAGGCTGCATAATCTTCACACATTCGTAGCCTGTGTTGTACAACTTGTCATTATAGAGGTGTTCACGGCACGAATGTTCTCCCATGATTAAGGTATTCCCATAAAAAATAATTTACAAGCTACTTGTACATATCACTATCACTCTAAATATATGTTCATGAGAAGTGTTAGAAGTGAGAAGTCTGAGAAGGCATCATACTGATAGTGAAATGATCGAAGGGCCATCTATACATGGTGTTTACTCTGATGGGCCAGGTACAAGTTCATGTACAACTTGTACATGTACAGATTCTCACTTGCACACTTTAAACCGATATAATTGCTGCTTTTTCAGTGCTTTGAAAAGACTTGATGACTGAAAACATTTTACAACAGCCAAGTTATAATCAAACCTTAATACTGCTGGTAAAAAAAGATTGACAAATTTATACATAAGGTACATGTACTTTACTGATGATCAGCGGTAGATATGAAGTTGCAAGGTAACTATTACATCAAATACCTTGGGGATTTTAGTATCAACTGAAATCAAAGCAATGATAAAATTAAGAGATGAAACAGTTTATTAGGCTTTTTATTAGGTTGGTAATCTTGAGGAATTTCTATTTTGTTTTGCAGAAAGAGAGGTTTTACTAATATTTAGGAAAGTTGTTTGTCTTCACCACTTGGTACATGTGCGCATATCCTGCTACATGTAGTACTTCAATGAGATATAAATCGTGACATCACAGTTGATGCATATATCTACATGAGCATGCAGAATGCACATGCCTGACTTCACCCACTATCATGCATGGATGAGAATCGCACCTTCCTTTCCACATACAATCCTGCCTCATACAATGAAATCTAGACATTACAATTTACAAAGTACTGCACACATCGCTTCATACACACTTCAGGGGTGATAGTGAGCACTAAAGAAATAAAAATAAATTCCCCTTAACCACGCCCCCCTTGAATGAAGACAAAAAAAGAAGATTGGGGGGGGGGGGGGGAGGAAATGGCATCTAACTACATGTACATTCCACCCCCCCCCCCCCCCTCAACACTTTTGAGGAAGAAAATTGGGGAAATAGGGAAGAATAGAGAAAATTCAGGAAAATGGGGATAAAATTGGGTTTAAATTTTTTTTTAAAATTGTATCTAAGGTTACTAATTTAATCTCCTTGGTAGCCATCTACATGTACTGTACATATCATTAGCTGGGGTGTCACATGAACTTTAAAGGCATAAATGTGGTCTGAATTAAGGCTTACATGAATGTAATTTTCCCATTTATACAAATCACTACTAATTCCACATTTTGTGGCTTAATTAACACCCTACGTTTGTTAAGTTTGTTAAGCAGTATTAACATGTACATGTACTATTAAGATTGAAAATATGCATTATTTTAAATATGAAACAAAACAAGCAAAGTGTACTACCTGGGATTTTCAATACATTTTATGATTGCAGAAATATTTCACGAACATTCTTGTATCATGTACATGTATGGACAATGGACCCTAAATGTTCAACCTGGGGTTTATTTATAATGAAATATAGCATTGAAGTCGTAAGTCTCAAGCCCATCAATCATAGCCCCATTAAGTGCGCCAACACCATCTTCAATAGATGGGACTCCATCATAAGATTTCTTAATATATCAACAGACTAATACATCATGTCATCACCATGCTCTCAAGTAAACTGTTCATAATCTAATAAGCGCATACCTACAGAACATGTATATTACCAGGTGTGGAATCATTCTTTGAATATAAAATAGTCTCATTTCCATTAGTAATTCATGGTACTGTGTAATGTATATTTTGTATAAAAACTGCACTATATGAATTTATTATTATTATTATTATTATTATTATTATTAACATACAGTACATGTACCGGTATTCAATTACATTTATCCTAAGAAAACAATTTGATTTTGGCCTATAAAAATGCATTTTCCACAGACGCATGTAACTCAAGTCTGAGCTATCTTTGGTTTAACATTTAAGCTATAGTATTCACAGAGTTAATACAAATCATAGTATAATTAAGTACTCCACTGTAACTGTACAATAGATCTAATGTTTATTCTTAAAACATTAAATCAGAAACCACCCCCCTCCCCCCCCCCCCCCCCCAAAAAAAAAAAAAAAATCCTATCAATCCGAAGAGAATAAAATCATTAGCTGTTATTGGTGCCAGAAGGATGTTTATTCTACTATAAAATAATATGAGTGACTTCCCTTCTGGCTCCTGATGGACAATACAGTACGATATACATGTACAGTATGTAGGTCAAATTATGCTACGTACTGCAGGGTAGAGAATCATCATCAGAATGAATATTGATTTGTGTACCTCAAAATAGATCTAACCGGCTTGTCTGAGTACCGGTATGCACAGTATGTATGGGATGATGAAGGAGCCTTCCTGATTCAATGTGATGCATTTCTCTTGCAGAGCCAGTGTCTGAGAACTAGCATAACTTCAAGGCACTTTGAAAAGGTTTGTGCAAAATA